GTGGCTTAGCTCGTAATAAATACGTATAAACACTCAGACATATATACACACGCGGACTTATCGCACCTCCGACGAGCACGGTTGGCTATGTACGGTGCGAAAGAAGTTCAACATATAAACGTGTATATATTTATATATACACTCACGCACGTACACGACCCCCTCAATCTCACGAGGGACCAACAGTACTACTCCTCCACTATGCCCACACGCGTACACACTCGCAGACATACTCAGATATCTAGATCCGTGCAACAAAAAGACAAAGATCCCCCGTATAGCCTGAACAGACTGTTGGGACAATTGCTGGTTAGCAAGTAGCATCTATTAAGGTCGCCACAGCACCGCGATGGGGTGGGTGGCGAGCAACTATGCCCGGCGGCCTTTGTCTCCCCAGTGGCGATGTTTACACACCGCACCAGGTACTTGTTTGAGGCTGAGTCGACCTAGGGGAGACCCAGGCACCGGTTCAGATAATCGTCACCGGTGTTGGCCGTGAGCGGGAATCGAACTATGGTCGCCGGGTTTGTAGCGCAGCGCGCTAACCGCTACACCACCGCTCCCCACTATATATACATCCGTGCACACACTCGTATGCACACATATACATATATACACTTCCACATATTTTCAAATACAATACGGCAGCCTCACTGTCTTCCACGGGGGCCAAAACTCTCCTGCACCGGCACCCACACTGCTAGACTTACACAGGAGTACGCATATACATAACGCATAAGCACCCGAATACATATATAGAGACAAAGATCCCTCGCTAACAGCACTGACTTCCAGTGCTGTTAGCGAGTTTCTCCTATGAAGGACAGCACGTGCACACGATGGGGTGGGTGTCCAACACCACCACGCCCGGCCGCCTTTGTCTCCCAAGTGCCGATGCTTACGCACTGCACCAGGTACTCACTTAAGGCTGAGTCGACCTAGCAGAGGCCCAGGATTGGTTCAAGTATTCGTCGCTGTTATTGGTTTTGAGCTGGCACCGAGCGAACTCACGTCGCCGGGTTCTTAGCGTAGTGCGCTAACCACTGCGCTGCCGCTGTTGGGCCTCCCCTAGGTCGATTCGGCCTTGAATGAGTACCTTTGTGCAGTCGGACATGGAATCAAAGGTGGCCGGGTGTGCTGCCAGCCACACCACCCCCTCGTGCTCCGTTCCAGCCTCTGTAGGCTACACGGGGTCTCGTCTGTATCCGTGTGTGCGTGTCTTGAGTGTGTGTGTGTGTGAGTGTATAGGAAAGCGGTAGTGGAGCGGTTAGCGCGCCGCGCTACGAACCTGGCGGCTCAGAGTTCGATTCCCGCGTACGGCCAACACCAGAGACGATTATCTGAACCGGTCCTGGGCCTCCTCCCAGAGGTCGACTCAGCCTCAAATGAGCACCTGGTGCGGCGTGTAGTAAACATCTCCGCTGGGGAGATAAAGGTGGCCGTGCGTGGTGCCGGCCTGCCACCCGCACGTGCACCGTGCCGGCCTTCATAAGTGCCGCTCGCTAACAGCACTTGCCCCAACAGTGTTAAAAGGCGATACGGGGGATCTTTGTCTTTGTTTGTTTTTTGTGTGTGTGAGATATGGGGAGTGAGAGAGAGAGAGAGTGTGTGTTTGGAGGCTCGAGACAGAATTAGTTACTAATGCATCCGTGCATTAACACGAGTTGTGCACGTCCATGCATACACAATTAAATCACTGCTGGTGGGAACCCAAATCATCCACAGATCATGGCCAATCGAATGTGTTTAGACTCCGTGTTAATTCATCTCGTGAAATTGTAACCCCTTCATATACAAGTTTCACCAATGCAGCGGTTAGCGCGCTGCGCTACAAACCAGAGTTCGAATCCCGCTTTTGGCCCACCAAAAACCAGTGACGATAATTATTATCTGAACCGGTCCTGGGCCTCCCCTAGGTCTTCCAATTAGCACCGTTGGCTACGTACGGTGCGGAAGACGTTCCACATACATACAGGTCGACTCGGCCTCAATTGAGTACCTGGTGCGGTGTGTAAACATTGCCGCTCGGGAGACAAGCAGCCGGGCATGGTGTGGGCCACTCGCCCCTTCTGCCGTGGCGGCCTTCATAGGTGCTCGCTAACAGCACTTGCCCCAACAGTATGTTCAGGCTATACGGAGGATCTTTGTCTTTTGTGTGTATATATACTCGTGTCTGCGTCCTGGAAAAACCCCACAATACTGTGTAAGTTCAGTGTTGGTTCTGTGTGGGTGCTGTGTTCTGTGTGGGTTCTGTGTTGGTTCTGTGTTGGCTCTGTGTGGGTGCTGTGTTGGTTCTGTGTGGGTGCTGTGTTGGTTCTGTGTAGATTATCTATGGGTTCTCTATAGGTTCTGTGTAGGTTCTCTATAGGTTCTCTATAGGTTCTGTGTAGGTTCTCTGTAGGTTCTCTATAGGTTCTGTGTAGGTTCTCTATAGGTTCTGTGTAGGTTCTCTATAGGTTCTCTATAGGTTCTGTGTAGGTTCTCTATAGGTTCTCTATAGGTTCTGTGTAGGTTCTCTGTAGCTTCTCTATAGGTTCTGTGTAGGTTATCTATAGGTTCTCTATAGGTTCTGTGTAGGTTCTCTATAGGTTCTGTGTAGATTCTCTATAGGTTCTCTATAGGTTCTGTGTAGGTTCTCTATAGGTTCTCTGTAGGTTCTCTATAGGTTCTCTGTAGGTTCTCTATAGGTCCTCTGTAGGTTCTGTGTAGGTTCTCTATAGGTTCTGTGTAGGTTCTCTATAGGTTCTGTGTAGGTTCTCTATAGGTTCTGTGTAGGTTCTCTATAGGTTCTGCGTAGGTTCTCTATAGGTTCTGTGTTGGTTCTCTATAGGTTCTGTCTAGGTTCTCTGTAGGTTCTCTATAGGTTCTGTGTAGGTTCTCTATAGGTTCTGTGTAGGTTCGCTATAGGTTCTGTGTAGGTTCTCTATAGGTTCTGCGTAGGTTCTCTATAGGTTCTGTGTAGCTTCTCTATAGGTTCTGTGTAGGTTCTCTATAGGTTCTGTGTAGGTTCGCTATAGGTTCTGTGTAGCTTCTCTATAGGTTCTGTGTAGGTTCTCTATAGGTTCTGTGTAGCTTCTCTATAGGTTCTGTGTGGGTTCTCTATAGGTTCTGTGTAGGTTCTCTATAGGTTCTCTGTAGGTTCTCTATAGGTCCTGTGTAGGTTCTCTATAGGTTCTGTGTAGGTTCTCTATAGGTTCTGTGTAGGTTCTCTATAGGTTCTGTGTAGGTTCTCTATAGGTTCTGTGTAGGTTCTCTATAGGTTCTGTGTAGGTTCTCTATAGGTTCTCTGTAGGTTCTCTATAGGTCCTCTATAGGTTCTGTGTAGGTTCTCTATAGGTTATCTATAGGTCCTCTATAGGTTCTGTGTAGGTCCTCTGTAGGTTCTCTATAGGTTCTCTATAAGTTCTGTGTAGGTTCTCTATAGGGCCTCTATAGGTTCTGTGTAGGTCCTCTGTAGGTTCTCTATAGGTCCTCTGTAGGTTCTGTGTAGGTTCTCTATAGGTTCTGTGTAGGTTCTCTATAGGTTCTGTGTAGGTTCTCTATAGGTTCTGTGTAGGTTCTCTATAGGTTCTCTGTAGGTTCTCTATAGGTTATCTATAGGTTCTCTATAGGTTCTCTGTAGGTTCTGTGTAGGTTCTCTATAGGTTCTGTGTAGGTTCTCTATAGGTTCTGTGTAGGTTCTCTATAGGTTGTGTAGATTCTCTATAGGTTCTCTGTAGGTTCTCTATAGGTCCTCTATAGGTTCTGTTGTAGGTTCTCTATAGGTTCTGTGTAGGTTCTCTATAGGTTCTCTATAGGTTCTGTGTAGGTTCTCTATAGGTTCTGTGTAGGTTCTCTATAGGTTCTGTGTTGGTTCTCTATAGGTTCTGTCTAGGTTCTCTGTAGGTTCTCTATAGGTTCTGTGTAGGTTCTCTATAGGTTCTGGGTAGGTTCTCTATAGGTTCTGTGTAGGTTCTCTATAGGTTCTGTGTAGGTTCTCTATAGGTTCTGTGTAGGTTCTCTTTAGGTTCTGTCTAGGTTCTCTGTAGGTTCTCTATAGGTTCTGTGTAGGTTCTCTATAGGTTCTCTGTAGGTTCTCTATTGGTTCTGTGTAGGTTCTCTATAGGTTCTCTGTAGGTTCTCTATAGGTCCTCTATAGGTTCTGTTGTAGGTTCTCTATAGGCTCTGTGTAGGTTCTCTATAGGTTCTGTGTAGGTTCTCTATAGGTTCTGTCTAGGTTCTCTGTAGGTTCTCTATAGGTTCTGTGTTCTCTGTGTTGGTTCTCTATAAGTTATGTCTAGGTTCTCTGTAGGTTCTCTATAGGTTCTGAGTAGGTTCTCTATAGGTTCTGTGTAGGTTCTCTATAGGTTCTGTGTAGGTTCTCTATAGGTTCTGTGTAGGTTCTCTATAGGTTCTCTGTAGGTTCTCTATAGGTCCTCTATAGGTTCTGTGTAGGTTCTCTATAGGTTCTGTGTAGGTTCTCTATAGGTTCTGTGTAGGTTCTCTATAGGTTCTCTATAGGTTCTGTGTGAGTTTATAAGGTCTCTGTGTTAGTCTGTAAGGTCTCTGTGTGAGTCTATAAGGTCTCTGTGTGAGTCTATTGGGTCTCTGTGTGAGTCTATTGGGTCTCTGTGTGAGTCTATAAGGTCTCTGTGTGAGCCTATGGGTCTCTGTGTGAGCCTATGGGTCTCTGTGTGAGTCTATACTCTATACGGTCTCTGTGTGAGTCTATGGGTCTCTGTGTGAGTCTATACGGTCTCTGTGTGAGTCTATGGGTCTCTGTGCGAGTCTGCAAGGTCTCTGTGTGAGTCTATGGGTCTCTGTGTGAGTCTGTAAGGTCTCTGTGTGAGTCTATAAGGTCTCTGTGTGAGTCTATAAGGTATCTGTGTGAGTCTTTAAGGTCTCTGTGTGAGTCTATAGAAACTGGCAATGTACGCGTACATCATCCGGTAATGGTAACGGCTTCGATGTACGTCCTGAAATGTTGTCATCCCGTGCCCCTTTTGTCCGTGTGCCCACAGTGAATTTTTGAGGGAGGGCATGGCTGTGCAGCCCGTGGCCTCTCTCGGTGCCCTGCATGCCCTGAGCCCTGCCCTTCTGAAGGAGGCCTTGCCCGCAGTGGCCGAGATCCTGCGGGAGAGCGAACGAAAGTCGGGATTAGGCCGTGAGCTGTCGGTCAGGTGAGGCGAAGCGTCTGTCTCTACATCGTCGTCGTCATCGTCATCATCGTTATTGTCATGGTGTTGTTGAGCGGAGTCATCGTCATCAGCATAAGTAGAGGAGTGTCAGGCAGCAGTAGCCACGTCAGCAGTATCAGTCAAAGCATAATCTGCAGCAGCATCGTCATCAGCAGTAAGCATCAGTAGAGTTGTAATGCCAAGCAGCAGCATCAACGTCAGGAGGATGTTGCTTAGGGGTAATCTGCACCAGCAGCATCATCGTCATCAGCAGCATCATTGGCAGTATCGCCATCCATGTCACCGCGCCGCGAACACAAAGACACACTCGCACAGATGCATAGACACAAAACACACGTGAACATACACAAAGACACACACATGCACACACAGACTCTAACTCGCATACACATAGACACACAAAGACACACTCGCACAGATGCATAGACACAAACACACGTGAACATACACATGCACACACAGAGTCTAACTCGCATACACATAGACACACAGAGACACACTCGCACAGATGCATAGACACAAACACACGTGAACATACACAAAGACACACACAAGCCAACACAAACAGACATGCAACTACAGACTCCCTCATGCACGCACACATCTCCCGCACAGCCTGAATAGACTGTTGGGGCGAGTGCTGTTAGTGACCACCCTATGAAGGCCGGCACGGCACACGAGGGGCTGGGTGGCCAACACCACGCCCGGCCGCCCTTTGTCTCCCCAGTGAAAATATTTACACATCACATAAGGTACTCATTTGAGGCTGAGTTGACCTCGGGGAGACGGCACCAGTTCAGATAATCGTCACTGGTGTTGGCCGTGAGCCGGAATCGAACTCGGTTTGCCGGGTTTTGTAGCGCAGCGCGCTAACCGCTACACTACCGCTCCCCACACGTGCAAAAGTGCAAACGCACACGAAGATAGATACACACACACACACGCGCGTGCTAACGCGCGCACGCACATACACACAAGACCCTCCTCTCTTTAACGACCGCCGATTCACAAAGATGCTCGCTGAACATTATCCTTCTCTCAAGACGATCTCCTATCTCTCTGCGGCGGTCACCCCCGTAACCCCCTCCCCCCACGTCTTCCCACGTCTCGCTGCCGCACACAACGTGCGGATTGTGTCCGGCGGCGGCGGCGGCGGCAGCGGCACGTAGGCACGTCGCCCTCGGTGGGAGAGGCCATGGGGGGGGGGGCAGGCGGACGAGAGGAGGTCGCGCGGGCGACCTCACCTGTCCGTCCGTCCGTCCGTGCGTTTGCGCGTCTCCGTCTCCGTCTCCCGCCGCGCCACGACCCCCTTGGTGGCCATTGTGTTGCGTGTGCTTGTCGAGATGCGAGCGAGCGATAGAGCAAGCGAGGGTGGCTTTTAGTCTGGGGACGTGAGATCTGGGGCTAGGCGGGTGTACGGGTGGGTCAATTAGGGGTGCGCGCTGTGTGTCTGTCTGTCTTTGTGTCCGGGGGGAACGGTGGCGACGCGGTCAGCGCCGCTGCGCTAAGAACCCGGCAGACCGGGGTCGATTCCCACTCACGGCCAACACCGGTGGCCGATTACCTAAAACCGTTCCTGGGTCTCCCCTAGGTCGACTCAGCCTCAAATGAGTACCTGGTGCAAAGTGTAAACAACGCTACTGGCGAGACAAAGGAGGTCGGGCGTGGTGCTGGCCACCCACCCCCTCGTGTGCAGTGCCAGCCTTCATAGGTGCTGCTACTCGCTAACAGCACTTTGCCCCAACAGTCTGTAAAATGTTGTGGATTTCATACTCTTTGGTTCTTTCGGTAAAGTCACGTAGGTAGAAAAATAAATAATGTAAATGTTGTGGATTTGCACGTTCTGTTTACGTGCCACAACCTTTACTAATTGGCTGTGTCGGGTGGTGGCGGGCTTAACGACACATTTACATTCACGCGGTCTAACCCACAAAACTTACTTTATGGAGTCTGTAAAAGACTATACGGGGGATATTTGTCACGTGTGTGTGTGACTATGTGTGTGTGTGTGGGGAGCGGTCGTGTAGCGGTTAGCACGCTAAGCTACGAACTTGGCCACCCAAGTTCGATTGCCGCTCACAGCCAACACCAGTGACGATTACCTGAAACCGGTCCTGGACCTCCCCTAGGTCGACTCGGCCTTAAAGGAGTACCCGGTGCGGTGTGTAAACATCGGCATTGGGGAGACAAAGGCGACCGGGCGTGGTGCTGCCACCCCCCCCCACCCCCTCGTGTGCCGTGCCCACCCACCCACGCTCACGGAGAAGCCCGCCCGTCCATATTTTTTAACTTTCTCATTTTTTTTTATTCTCCCTCGCCTGGTCCCCCGAAATCTGATCCTGTGTGGGAGGGGGGGGTCCCTTTTTTAGTTTGCTGCCATTTTTTTTGTTCACCCCCCCCCGCCTCCACCCCCCGAGTGTTTAAGAATCGATGTCTGTGTCCGTCGCTCTCTGCCGGAGAGCGAGAGTGATCCCTTCCGTCAAGACACTCAATGGGGAATGATAGTGAGCAGGGCACTCGGGAAGGGATGAGTGCAGTGGTTTTCAAGAGAGCCTCAAGACATGAGCCTCCTCCACCTCATTGTGAGTCTTTCTCTCTCTCTCTCGAGAAAGAGAGAAAGAGAGAGGCAGTGGGAGACGGGTCATTTGAGAAATTGGTTAATGTCGGTGTCACGTTGCGGCAGGTAATGCCCCCCTGTCTGTCCTTATCGCACTTGTATCAGCCCAGTGTCCGTGTGTTGTCTGTGGGCGGGTGGGGTGATTGTGGGTGCGTCGGTGGGTGGGTGGGCGAGTGACTGAGTGGGTGGGTGGGTATCTGAGTGAGTGGATAGGTTCATGAGTGAGTGGATGGGTTTTGGGGGAGAGTAGGTGAGTGGTTGGGTACTCATGAGTGAGTTGCTAGGTGAGTAAGTGGATGGGTCCGTGAGTTAGTGGATGGGTCCGTGAGTTAGTGTACAGTAAGGGAAAAAAGTATTTGATCCCCAGCTGATTTTGTACGTTTGCCCACTGACGAAGAAATGATCAGTCTATAATTTTAATGGTAGGTTTATTTGAACAGTGAGAGACAGAATAACAACAACAAAATCCAGAAAAACGCATGTCAAAAATGTTATAAATTGATTTGCATTTTAATGAGGGAAATAAGTATTTGACCCCTCTCCAAAACATGACTTAGTACTTGGTGGCAAAACCCTTGTTGGCAATCACAGAGGTCAGACGTTTCTTGTAGTTGGCCACCAGGTTTGCACACATCTCAGGAGGGATTTTGTCCCACTCCTCTTTGCAGATCTTCTCCAAGTCATTAAGGTTTCGAGGCTGACGTTTGGCAACTCGAACCTTCAGCTCCCTCCACAGATTTTCTATGGGATTAAGGTCTGGAGACTGGCTAGGCCACTCCAGGACCTTAATGTGCTTCTTTTTGAGCCACTCCTTTGTTGCCTTGGCCGTGTGTTTTGGGTCTTTGTCATGCTGGAATACCCATCCACGACCCATTTTCAATGCCCTGGCTGAAGGAAGGAAGTTCTCACCCAAGATTTGACGGTACATGGCCCCGTCCATCGTCCCTTTGATGCGGTGAAGTTGTCCTGTCCCCTTAGCAGAAAAACACCCCCAAAACATGTTTCCACCTCCATGTTTGACGGTGGGGATGGTGTTCTTGGGGTCATAGGCAGCATTCCTCCTCCTCCAAACACGGCGAGTTGAGTTGATGCCAAAGAGCTCCATTTTGGTCTCATCTGACCACAACACTTTCACCCAGTTGTCCTCTGAATCATTCAGATGTTCATTGGCAAACTTCAGACGGGCATGTATGTGCTTTCTTGAGCAGGGGGACCTTGCGGGCGTTGCAGGATTTCAGTCCTTCACGGCGTAGTGTGTTACCAATTGTTTTCTTGGTGAATATGGTCCCAGCTGCCTTGAGATCATTGACAAGATCCTCCCGTGTAGTTCTGGGCTGATTCCTCACCGTTATCATGATCATTGCAACTCGACGAGGTGAGATCTTGCATGGAGCCCCATGCCGAGGGAGATTGGCAGTTTTATGTTTCTTCCATTTGCGAATAATCGCACCAACTGTTGTCACCTTCTCACCAAGCTGCTTGGCAATGGTCTTGTAGCCCATTCCAGCCATGTGTAGGTCTACAATCTTGTCCCTGACATCCTTGGAGTGCTCTTTGGTCTTGGCCATGGTGGAAAGTTTGGAATCTGATTGATTGCTTCTGTGGACAGGTGCCTTTTATACAGGTAACAAGCTCAGATTAGGTGCACTCCCTTTAAGAGTGTGCTCCTAATCTCAGCTCGTTACCTGTATAAAAGACACCTGGGAGCCAGAAATCTTTTTGAATGGGGGTCAAATGCTTATTTCCCTCATTAAAATGCAAATCAATTTATAACATTTTTGATATGCGTTTTTCTGGATTTTGTTGTTGTTATTCTGTCTCTCACTGTTCAAATAAACCTACCATTAAAATTATAGACTGAACATTTCTTTGTCAGTGGGCAAACGTAAAAAATCTGCAGGGGATCAAATACTTTTTTCCCTCACTGTATAGGTTCATGAGTGAGTGGATAGCTGAGTGGATGGGTCTGTGGGGGAGAGTAGGTGACTGGTTGGGTACTCATGAGTGAGTTGCGAGGTGAGTAAGTGGATGGGTCTGTGAGTTAGTGGATGAGTCCGTGAGTTAGTGTACAGTAAGGGAAAAAAGTATTTGGTACTTTTGAGTGAGTTGGTCGGTGAGTTACTGGATGACTCTGTGAGTTGATGGGTATCTGAGTGAGTGGATAGGTTCATGAGTGAGTGGATAGCTGAGTGGATGGGTCTGTGGGGGAGAGGAGGTGAGTGCATGGGTAACTCTTGAGTAAGTTGGTAGGTGAGTGAATGGGTCCGTGAGTTAGTGGATGAGTCTGTGTACACGAATGAATTGATGAATGGGTGGTTTCGTGGTTAGCGGCACGGCACTCAGAGCCCGGCGACCTGAGTTTGTTGCCAGCTTACAGTCAATAACTGGCGAATATTTGAACTGGTCCTGGGCCACCGCTAGATCGACTCAGCCTTCAATGAATACCCGGTGCGGTGTGTGTAAACATCACCATTGGAGGAGACAAAGGCGCACCCCAGGCATTGGTGGTGGCTACTCACCCCCTCGTGTGCCCGTACCAGCCCTCATCGGTGCTACTCGCTACCTGCACTTGCCCCAACAGCCTGTTGAATGTTACCTGGGAGATCTTTGTCTTGTGTGTCCGTTCACGTCAATCGCCTATCCGCCAGTTTATCTCGGCCATTTCGGTCGGTCAACTCGCCACACTGGGTCTGTCCAGTGACCTCCCTGTATCCTGCACTCGACGTGTCGGCCTCAGGGTGTACCCAGCCTGGTACAAGTGTCGTCTCCGTCGCGTACTCACACTCACACCTATATATAATGACGTGTGTGTGTTCGTGGGCGCGTGTCTTCACAGGCAAGCCTATTCCACTCTCCTCTCCTCGCTGGGAGAAGTCGATCCGGATGATGACATCACAAATCTTAACTCTCAGGACTCGACCAACTGAGGCACTTCGCCTCCTCCCCACCAAACAAAGTTACACTATAAACTGTTTTATAGTTTAAACGATAAACAATGTTTGTATTCACCAGGTAACAGCCCACATAGCTCCTTTTTAGAAGCGTCCAACCGGGCCACAACAAACGATAGCTCAGTATGCGAACATTTATAGCAGGAGCCAAATACTCTTCTGCGTGTGACGTCGATTCCAAATGTGGTTGGGGTGAGGGGGAAACCAGGAGGACCCGGAGAAAAAAAATCTACGCGACAACGGAGAGAGAGAGACACGCAAACTCCAAATATACAGCAGCAGGCGTCAGGGTCAAGTTGGACCCCACGACCTCCTGTACACCAGGCGAGGTAGTTAACATCTCCTAGCCACCGTGATGATGATGAGAGAGAGAGAGAGACACGCAAACTCCAAATATACAGCAGCAGGCGTCAGGGTGGGGATTGAACGCACGACCTCCTGTACACCAGGCGAGGTAGTTAACATCTCCTAGCCACCGTGATGATGATGAGAGAGAGAGAGAGACACGCAAACTCCAAATATACAGCAGCAGGCGTCAGGGTGGGGATTGAACCCACGACCTCCTGTACACCAGGCGAGGTAGTTAATATCTCCTAGTCACCGTGATGATGATGATGATGAGAGAGAGACACGCAAACTCCAAATATACAGCAGCAGGCGTCAGGGTGGGGATTGAACGCACGACCTCCTGTACACCAGGCGAGGTAGTTAACATCTCCTAGCCACCGTGATGATGATGAGAGAGAGAGACACGCAAACTCCAAATATACAGCAGCAGGCGTCAGGGTGGGGATGAAACCCACGAACCTCCTGTACACCAGGCGAGGTAGTTAACATCTCTCCACCACTCGGGCAGGGTGGTGGCTGGGTGATGCCCAGTGGTGACACCCCCGCGTGCCTCGCAGCAAGAAGGGCCTCGGTTCAATTCCAAAATCGAGTTCTGTATTTATGCCCCTGTTGTGCAGCGGGTTTCCCTCCGGGTTCTCCGATTTCACCACATAGCTAACTGCAACAAAGAACAAACAAGCACACGCCCAATGTGAGTCACCGCTGTTGGCCAAACAACATCCCCGACGCTGCATCCCACGCAGAATGGGAATATTTATTTACACCGGAGGAGTCTGAAGAGCTCATGAGCAGCCCTTTTTGCGCGATACTGCCGATGTCAAGTCGGGGCAGATTGCACAGCGGCGGCGGCGAAAAACTTGGCAGGAACCTCCTGAAGAGCAGTCTTGAGGCTCGGGTGGAGGCTTTCCTGGGTTAACGTTACCAATACAATAACGGCAACAACGCCTTTATTGGAGCAATTCCCGTGAATTGCTCGTTCCGACGCGGGCCGATGCGTTCCTGAGCAGTTCCCCCGACAAGCGAAAACGGTTTCCCCGTAACTAATGCGACGACGGCGACGAGAGTTTGTCGAGATGCGACGTTGCTGCTTCTACTCCTCCTCCTGCCACCACTGCGCACGCCACACACACACACGGCGCACGTTTCACGTCATCGCGGTGAATGGTACGCGCTATAACTGTGAGCGCCGTTCCCCGCGTCGTTGTGCGAAAAGTGCGCCCGAGCGCAAAGAAGCCGCCTCGTCCATCGCGATTAAACGCCCCGCGGTGAGGTGCCGCAGCTCGGGGTTGGCCCTCGGAGTCGGAGAGGCCACCCGGGCGGTTTCAGCGGCCGGAGTCCGTTCCTCGCTGCGACCGTCACCCACGCGGGGCTGGTGACCCCGCGTGGGTGACGGTGGAACTGCAAGCGGCTCGGCGTCCCGCGCTTAGATTTTTCGCTTCGGGGTATTTGTTGTGGTCGTTGAAGGGAGGATGCGCACGATGGCAACGTACATACAACGTGCAACGCGCAACGTCTTTCTCACCGTACGTGGCCAGACCCCCGGTGCTCACCGGAGGCTAAGGGTTCCAGGAAACGAGGCTGTGCCAACGGGGAGAGGCTTCGCCCACCCATTCTTGGGACAGTTAAGGGACAACGAGAACGCCTTTGCCGTTCCTAGGCGTCGGGGAGGGGTCGTAGCGGCGGCACCACCACCACCACCGTCGTCGTCGTTTTTCAAAGACGTCGCCACTCACCGCGGAGAACCGTGGCGGCGCGACCGCCGCCAATCTACGACAGCCGGCGCCAAAACGGTGCCACGCGCTGCCCTAACGGCGAGGCACCGGTGGGAGCCTCGGTGTGCCCAATGCATAATTTAAAAAAATATATATTTTCTTCTGGCTTCCGTTCCGATGGCGCGTGCGCGTCGTACGCCGTCAGCACGGAATCGGAAGAAAAAGCGATGACCGTTTCGCCGAATACCGCCTTGGTCTCGCTGAAAGTACGATGGGGGATCTCGGGAATCCAAGGAATCGCTTACTCATCCCCCCCCCCCCTCTACCCCGGCCATAGGAATGTGGAATTTCCACCACGGGTCTCGCGGGGCTACCAGGGGAAGATGAAAAGCACCGCCCAACGCTGATGTAATAAGTCGAGCAAAAACCGTTCTTCACCAAGATCTTTTATTAATAACTTACAGCCCTTTGGGGAGTTGCTTTGACCGTATTCCACCACGCGCTGGTCAGTGGTTTGGTGCATTGGGGGGGGGGGGGGGTCCGTCACCACGTCCGACGTTTCGCGGCGCATGCGTGTCTCCGGCGTGGGGGGGAGCTTGTTCCATCGAGTACTGAAAAGGATTCGAGTAGAACGGAGTTCAGAGTACCCGAGGAAAGGGCGCGCGCTGCGAAACGTCGAGGAACGGGCGACGGACAAACGCGCCCGCGGCCCGACTAACGAAAACGCGCACAGGGGGGGGTACGGGGGGGGGGTACGGGGGGGGGGTTGGTACGGGGGGGGGGGGTGGGGGTGGGGGGGTTACGAGTAGCAGCAATAACGGCGGCAGCAGCTGCAGCGTAAATATTTTTTTGTCCGGCTTTTCAGCGTACGCAAAACGTAAACCGACATCACCAGCAGCAGCACCACCACACGAAACGACAATGGCACGGATGATGAACTCGGGCAACGATGCGTTTTGGTTTGTTGCGTCGTCGGCGGGGGGGGGGGGGGTGGGGAGGGGGTTGTGGACGTCACCACGCACGGCCACCGCTGCCGCCGCCGCCGCCTTAGTGCCGTTCGCAGTCCCAGCAACAGCCCAGAGAGATCTGTGACCCCCCCCACCACCATCACCATCATCATCACGCCGTCGCACTCGCGATGCAGACTCCCGCGACTCGTTGCGTGAAAATGAGGAAGCGGGTTTTTTCCGTCGATGTCAACCCCCTGTCGGTGCCCTACCTTACCGCAGACACAATTCGGACCGTATTGGTCACAACCCCGTGGCCACGTTGTGGATCTCAACGGTGGACCGACAAAGTCGCCATCACAAGGGAGGAAACAAACGGAGCGAGGACAAATGTTTAGCGCCGCATTGAAACGGCTGTACACGCCGTATGGGACCTGAACAACTCAATTTCCCCCGTGCAAAAGTACGGGGTAAACCGTATGGGTTGACAGCTGTGGATTTCTGTGGGGGTCCTCTGTGGGGGGTCTCCATACCTGTCACAACCCCCGATCAGTGCCCTTCCTTACTGGAGACCGTATTGGACACCCCGTGCCCCTACAAAGTCCCATCACAAGGGGAAAAACACAGACAAACAGACATTATGTTTTTTTCGCCCGTATTTAAACGGCTGTATGCCGTATGGGACCTGAACACGCAATTTCCCTGTACAAGAATACAGGGTAAACCGTACCGCGTTGACAGCTGTGGATTTCCACTTGACCCAAGTTAATGTTTTTATTTATTTCAATTGGACGCGTATTATTTTCCCAGCCGCGTAAAGTTTTAACAAACGATGAAATGTATCTGCTGTTTTTTGTACTCAATGTAAACTTAATAAAAAATTACTTTCATATAGATTTTTTTTTATTATTTGGTCCCATTCTTACATGCGTGTGCGTCATCTCATCGTTGATGCTCGCTAACAGCACTTGCCCCAACGAGACTGTTAAGGCTATGAGAGGGGATCTTTGTGTGTCTCCGTGTGTCTCTGTGGGTCTGCATGTACCCGTGTGTATGAGAGATGGAGATTGCTTGTGTGTGTCTATAACCAATACCGGTATCTATGCGCACCGGTCAACGCCCCCCTCTACTGGTACCCGTGTCTTCCCCTGTGTCTCCCTCTGTGTCTCCCCCCTGTGTCTCCCCCTGTGTCTCCCCCCGTGTCTCCCCCCGTGTCTCCCTGTCTCCCCCTGTGTCTCCTTGTGTCTTCCCCCTGTGTTTCCCCCTGCCTCCCCCGTTTCTCTCCCTGCTCCCCCCCCCCGTGTCTCCGCTGTGTCTCCCATGTTCCCCCGTGTCTCCCTCGTGTCTCCTCCAAGTCTCCCCCGTGTCTCTACTACCACAGGCTGTGGGGTTTGCAAGCGATGGGTCGGGGCAGGAAACAGGCGGAGACGCCATTGGAGGCGAAGGGCAGAGCGGGCCCAGTGAGAAGGCGCTCGCCGCCCAGCTCCCCCTGCTCCGCCCGTCCAGCAAACACGTCCAGGATCTGTGAGCGAGACGCACACGCAGACACGCACACACAGACACGCACACACAACAACAACAACAACCGCCATTCGCCACTGAGTGGCGGTGACGTCACCACGACGCTTGTGCCAGGCCACACACAGACACGCACACGCAGACACTCACACGCAGACACATGCAGACACTCACACGCAGACAAGCACACGTAGACACGCACACGCAGATGCAGACACGCACACGCAGACACTCACACGCAGACACGCACACGCAGACACTCACGCAGACACTCACGCAGACGCAGACACTCGCACACACGCAGACACGCACACGCAGACACGCACACACAGACACGCAGACACTCACACGCAGACACTCACACGCAGACGCAGACACGCACACACACGCATACACGCACACACAGACACTCACGCAGACACGCACACGCAGACACTCACACGCAGATACGCACACACAGACACTCACACCCAGACACGCACACACAGACACGCACACACAGACATGCACACGCCGCACCGTCAACGCCGCACCGTCAACGCCGACTCAAACCGCCTGTCTCTGTCTCTAACTCTGTCTTTGTCTCTAGCAGACAGAGACAGAGTTAGAGACAGAGACAGAGTTAGAGACAGAGTTAGAGACAGAGTTAGAGACAGAGTTAGAGACGGAGACAGAGTTAGAGACAGAGTTAATGACAGAGTTAGAGACAGAGTTAGAGGCAGAGTTAGAGGCAGAGTTAGAGACAGAGTTAGAGACAGAGTTAGAGGCAGAGTTAGAGACAGAGACAGAGTTAGAGACAGAGTTAGAGACAGAGTTAGAGACAGTCTCTGTCTTTGTCTCTAACTCTGTCTCTAACTCTATCTCTGTCTTTGTCTCTAACTCTGTCCCTAACCGTCTCTAACTCACCTGGACCGATGCGAGGGGCTCATTGATGAGAATGGAGTAGCCGCCGACCAGGTAGATTTTCCCAGCATGCACTGCGACTCCGGCTTCATTCTGACCTGCACCAGGGGGTCAACGACCAGGTTCAATTCCAGCTTCACAAAGACAAAGATCCCCCGTGCAGCCTTAACAGACTGTAGGGGCAAGTGCCATTAGCGAGCAGCGCCTATGAAGGCCGGAGGGGGTGGGTGGCCAGGACCACGCCCCACCGCCTTTGTCTCCCCAGTAGCGATGTTTATACATGTCACAAGGTACTTGTTTGAGGCTGAGTCTACCTAGGGGAGGCCCAGGACCGGTTCAGATAATCGTCACCGGTGTTGGCCGTGAGCGGGAATCGAACTCGTGTCGCCGGGTTCATAGCGCAGCGCGCTAACCACTACACTATCGCACGCACGCATACACACACGCACGTACACACACGCACGCACGCATACACGCACGCACGCATACACACGCACGCACGCATACACACATGCACGCACACGCACGGCCAATCACCCAGGCGCTGGCTTACATTGATACTTTGATTGCAGCCATTAATTAGAAATCAAAGGATTTGTTGAGCCACCGTGGTTGTCCTCCGGATAGACTCGCCACCCCCGTCAGAGGAATGCGGAATTTGAACTCTGCCTTTTGACGTGTCTTGACGTACAACGTAATTAGATTCCGTACAAAACATTTGAAAATGATCTGCACGTTTTTATTTTAGCGGGAAAGGATGCCACCGAGATGCTACGTAACAGTTTTTCAGAAGCGACCATCCTGGCTACCACAAATGAGAGCTCAACGGAGTGGCTTCTCATCACGTGGACATTTATAGCAGCAGCCAAAGACTCTAAAGGCGCGATGTCGATTCTAAATGTGGAAGGGAAAAACCGGAGGACCCTGGAGACAAATCCACGCGACCACGGAGAGAGACACGCAGACTCCAAATATACAGCAGCAGGCGTCAGGGTCTGGATGGAACCCACGACCCTCCTGCATACCAGACGAGGTAGTTAACATCTCCTAGACACCGTGATGATGATGATGAGAGAGAGAGACACGCAGACTCCAAATATACAGCAGCAGGCGTCAGGGTCAGGATCGAACCCACGACCTCCTGCACACCAGGTGAGGTCGTTAACATCCTGACAATAGGATGCACGTGATAAAAGTGACGGTCAGAGTCGAAATGTGACAAAAGTTACACCGCAAATAAACTCAACAATTGGCGACTCCACACAGCAGCAATCATCCCCCCCCCCCTACTGACAGGAGATCTTGGCAGGACCCTCGTGAATAAGAGCCTTGAGACTCGGTTGAAGGATTTCCTGGGCATAAATAAGAGCACTAACTAATTAAATAAAACTGACACAATTCCCGTATTCCCCAGGTCACAAGACGCTCCGGAAAGTGAGACGCGCAGACTCAAACTTGGACGGATCTGTGCACACCAAGGCAAAAGAACTACCGTGGAGCCTCTAAACGGACTGTCGGGGCAAGCGCCGTTAGCGAGCAGCACCTATGAAGGTCGGCACGGCGCACGAGGGGGTGGGTGGCCAGAACCACGCCCGGCCGCCTTTGTCTCCCCACCGCTAATGTTTGCGCACCGCATCAGGTACTCGTTTAAGGCTGAGTCGACCTAGGGGAGGCCCAAGACCAGTTCAAATATTCGCCACTGACTTTGGCGGGATTCAACTCGGTTCACCGCGATAGCGCGAAGCGTGCTAGCCACTGCGCCACCGCTCCCCGCCCGCACGAACTAGCACGCACTAACACATGAACCATAATCATAATACGATTCTCGAACGACTGAAGTTGACACTGCACCCAACTCGACCCCACCCCACTGCACTCCACCCTACCCTACCGCAATGCACCCCACCGCACTCCACCCCACTGCACCCCACTGCACTCCACCCCATTGCACTCCACCCTACCCCACCGCACTGCACTCCACCCCACTCCACCCCACTGCACTCCACCCTTCTCCACTGCTCCCCACTCCACCCCACCCCACTGTACTCCACCCCACCCCACCCCACTGTACTCCACCCCACTGCACTCCACTCCACTCCACCCCACTGCACTCCACCCTTCTCCACTGCTCCCCACTCCACCCCACCCCACCCCACACTACTCCACCCCACTGCACTCCACCGCACTGCACCCTACTGCACTCCACCCCACTCCACCCCACCCCGCCCCAATCCACCCTACCCCACCGCACTGCACCGCACTCCACCCTTCTCCACCCCACTCCACCCCACCCCACTCCACCCTTCTCCACCCCACTGCACCCCCCCCACCGCCCGGAGACACCGGCACCTGTGCTGAGAGCGGCGGTGCAGCGCGTCCACTGGTCGGTGTCCAGGCAGTAGCGGTCGATGTGCCGCACCATGACGCGGTCGTTGTTGTGGTCCAGGTCGTTGCCTCCGAGGACGTAGAGCCGGCGGCACACCGCCGCCATCGAGTGATAGACGCGCCTCTGGGGCATCGCGCTGCACGCGGCCCACACATCCTGCCGTCACGGACCGGGTTGGCGGGGGGGGTTAGAGGAGGAGAGAGGAGCGGGCGGGGGAGGAGGGGGCGGAGAAGGAGGAAGAGAGAGAGGAGGAGCGGGGGAAGAGGGGAGGAGGAGAGAGAGAGGAGGAGTGGGGGAAGGGGGGAGGAGGAGGAGAGGGAGAGGAGGAGCGGGGGAAGAGGGGAGGAGGAGGAGGAGGAGAGAGAGGAGGAGGAGAGAGAGAGGAGGAGCGTGGGAAGAGGGGAGGAGGAGGAGAGAGAGGAGGAGTGGGGGGAAGAGGGGAGGAGGAGGAGAGAGAGGAGGAGCGTGGGAAGAGGGGAGGAGGAGAGAGAGAGGAGGAGTGGGGGGAAGAGGGGAGGAGGAGGAGAGAGAGGAGGAGGAGAGAGAGAGGAGGAGCGTGGGAAGAGGGGAGGAGGAGAGGGAGAGGAGGAGCGGGGGAAGAGGGGAGGAGGAGAGAGAGGAGGAGCGGGGGGAAGAGGGGAGGAGGAGAGAGAGGAGAGAGAGAGGAGGAGCGGGGGAAGAGGGGAGGAGGAGGAGGAGAGAGAGACTTTTGACGTTTGAGCCACTTTTATTGCTGCCAGCGGCAACATCGCTGGAGCAGATTTCGATACGAAACGCACAAAGTCACCGGCGACAAATAACCAAACACAACAAAGAAAGCCACGCGCTGCACAACGTGGTGCTGTACGGGGCACGTGGCGCCGCCGTACGCGGCACGCGCAACACAAAGACGTCACGTGGTGGTGGTGGTGGTGGTGGTCGTGGTGGTGGTCGTCGTCGCGCCCGCCACGACCGAGCACGTTGGAAGGTGAAAAGGAGGGTGCCGTTGAGTGAGAGGAGTGGGGAGGAGAGGAGGGCGAGGAAGAGAGGGGAGGAGGGAGCAGGGAGGAGATGGGAGGAAAGAAGGAGGAGAGAGCGGGGGAGAAGGGGCCAGAGAGTAAGAGGACGAGGTTAAGTAGAGGAGGAGGGAGGATAAAGGAGTCGGGGAGGAAGAAGGGATGAGATAGGAGGAAGAGGAGGAGGGAGGGAGCAGGGAGAGAGGAGGGAGGAGGGATATTGAGGTCTCAAGCGTGTTCCGTGAGCCAGGTGAGAACTTCAGTGACCAGGATCCAGTCCCCTGTTTGCAGGCATGGCCCGGGTGACCCAGGGCTTAACTACAGATGGGGCTGAGCTGACGTGGGTCTGACCTCCAGAAAATATTAATCATAAAATAATGATTTAAAGCTTTCGTGACTGCAGGGATTCGTATTCTTGGTTCTTTCGGTAAAGTCACGTAGAAGGGAAACAATAAAATAATATTGTTTTAGATTTTTATTATTTCACTGTTTACCCTTCTACGTGACTTTACCGAAAGAACCAAGAATAATAAAATAATGATTACGGTAGGGGCCAGCCCATGGCTTCCCACAGTTCACTCCGCATGCCTCACCGAATGTAACTATGATTCGGGTAGGTGGGTACTTGGTTAGTATGTGAGGTATGGTTATGGTGTTGGGAGTGTTTGGGTGTTGGGGTCGGTGCTAGGGCTGTTGATTATGATACAATAGCTCAGGCTCCACTGAGCTATATAGATATTCTTCAGAAGCAAACCTGGTTACCACAAATCATAGCTCAACTAAGTGGCTTGTCATCAGCAGCCAAACACGCTTAAAGTCGTGACGTCGATTCTAAATGTGGAGGTAAAAATCGGAGGACCCGGAGAAAAATCCACGCGACAATGGGGGGAGACACAGCAGGTGTCAGGGTCGGGATGGAACCCACGACCTCCTGTACACCAGGCGAGGTAGTTAACATCTCCTAGCCACCGTGATGATGACGAGAGAGACACGCACACTCCAAATATACAGCAGCAGGCGTCAGGGTCGGGATGAAACCCACGACCTCTTGCATACCAGGCGAGGTAGTTAACATCTCCTAGCCACCGTGGCGCCCACAACGATAGAGTTCAGGCTGTGGTTGGCAGCCAGCAAAGGGAACGTGCTCACCAGCGCGGGGTCGTAAACCAGCAGCGAGTTCTGGTACTGGGCAGTGTTCGTGACGCCACCTGTGGTGAGTGGAAGGGTGACACACACACAGCAACGCGCACACACACACAGCAACGCGCACACACACACAAAGCAACGCACCACACACACAGCAACGCGCACACACACACAAAGCAACGCACCACACACACAGCAACGCGCACACACACACAAAACAACGCACCACACACACACAGCAACGCGCACACAGCAACGCGTACACACACACAGCAACGCGCACACACACACGCAGCAACGCGCACACAACAACGCGCACACAGCAACGCGCACACACACACGCAGCAACGCGCACACAACACACAGCAACGCACACACAACACACAGCAACGCGCACACACACAGCAACGCGCACACACACACGCAGCAACGCGCACACAACACACAGCAACGCGCACACACACACAGCAACGCGCACACACACACGCAGCAATGCGCACACACACACACAGCAACGCGCACACACACACAGCAACGCGCACACAACACACAGCAACGCGCACACACACACAGCAACACGCACACACACACACACACTAAATACAAACAGAGACAAGGGATCCCCCCCCGTGGAGCCTTAACAGACTGTTGCTGTTAGCGAGCAGCACCTACGACGGAGCTGCACACGAGGGGGTGGGTGGCCAGCACCACGCCCTGCCGCCTTTGTCTCCTCAGTGTCAATGCTTACACACCACATCGGGTACTCATTTTAAGGCTGAGTCGACCTAGGGGAGGTCCAGGGACCGGTTCAGATAATCGTCACCGGTGTTGGCCGTGAGCGTGAATCGAACTCGGCTCGCAGGGTTTGTAGCGCATCACGCTAACCGCTACACTACCGCTCCCCACAAGACAAAGATCCCCCGTATAGCCTCATTGGTGCCAACCAACAGCACTTGCCCCAACCTTGTACACGCGCAGACACACAGACACACATCTATATATGGTGTACACACACACAGACACACACAACAACAACCGCCATTCGCCACTAAGTGGCGGTAACGTCACCACGATGCTTGTGCCAGGCCATGTGCACCTTGAGGCCACGTGAAGTGTCGAACGCCCGCTGGCAGGTCACGGGGCAGACCCAGGTGCCACGGGTGGACTGAGTGAGATGACTGGCTGATGCACCACCTGTGGCCCCTACTGTGCCAACCTGCTGTGCTTTAGCCACCCGGCGCTCCACTCGTTGTGAGCGTTGCTCTTCCGCCCTCCGTTGTTGTTGGAGGGCGACTGCCTCCAACTGCCCAGTAGCGTCCTTCACGAGCCTCCTCCACAGAGGCCGATCTTGACACCGCTGGTACCAGTCATCGGCAAGTCCACTCAGCTCCACGTCCTCCTGTACCACATCACTCCATCTCTTCTCTCGCCCGTGCCGCGCCCGTTTAGCCCCCTCGATCCGGCCGAACAAAAGCTGTTTCGGCATGTGGTGGCTGGGCATGCGGGCTACATGACCAAGCCAGCACAGCCTTGCCTGCCGGAGGAGCTCACCGATGGGACTTTGTCCAGATCTTTCAAGGATATGTGAGCTCCTCACACAATCCAGCCTGGTTAAACTCAAGATGGACCGTAGGCAGGCTAGCCTAAATGTTTCTAACCGGCGAAGATGTTCCATTAGGGGGGTCCACGTTTCGCAAGCGTAGAGAAGGGAGGGAATGACCGTGGCCAAGAAGACCTGAAGCTTAGTGCGGAGCGACAGACCAGGTAGCTTCCACACAGCGTTACGCAACCGATGAAAAGATATTGCCGCTCGACTGATTCGGAGTGAAACCTCTGCTGTTAAACTGGAGCTGGTCATAAGCACACTGCCCAGGTATGGGAAACTCTCCACTCTCTCCACAACTGCCCCATCACCGATTAGGAGTTGTGGGGGTGGAGTGTCCGATGGTACAAAATACCCAGGCAGGTGCTTAGTTTTGGTAAGGCCCCATCTCTTAGTGGCACGTTCCAGTCTCAGCAGCAGCATCTCCAACTCCTCCTCTGAATAAGCAGCTATTACCAAATCATCGGCATACATAACGTGCTTGAGCAATAGGGAGCCATCCCTTGACCGCACCCGGGCATCGATCAGCCTCCCATTATCTCTGTACCATATGGAGATTCCCCCGGTACAGCTATTGAAGGCTTCACGAACTACGTGGTCAAGATAGATGTTAAATAATGTGGGAGCCAGAGGACATCCTTGTCGCACCCCAAGGTGAACAGGGAATGGCTCTGACTCCTGGCCACGTAGTTTTACCCAGGTCCGATCACCATCATGAAGGTCCTTAATGATCGTGAGCAGGGGGTCAGGGACTCCAAAAGCACGAAGAACAACCCAGAGCCCAGGCCTACTGATGGTATCATAGGCCTTGACCAGGTCAATAAAGAAGAGATGTAGGTCTTGTTGGAATTCCCTACACCTCTGCTGTAACAGACGGACATAAAATATGGGATCTGTGCAGGATCGCCCTTTCCTGAAACCGCATTGGGGCTCCGCAAGCCTCTCCTCAGCGTGCCTGGCAAGGCGCTGTTGAATAATCCTTGCCAGGACCTTTCCCGGCACACTGAGGAGTGAGATGCCCCTGTAGTTGTTAGTCTGTGCGGTCCCCCTTCTTAAAGAGGGGGACCACCAGGGCATCCTTCCAATCCTGCGGAACCCGTCCAGTGGTCCAGACTGTTGTTATGATGTCTGTGCACAAACGCCACCCTCCCTCAGCATTTCGCTTGGGAGATCATCACACACACACCTACACTCGGTATGTTTTACGGGAGAATGCGAAGGGAACTTCCGTGGGTTTCTAAAGCCCTGGGGATGGCTCTGAGTTTGTGATGAAGAAGGGAGTGGGAGTCTCGAGCAGTGGAGAGGGGCAGTGGCTGAGCAGCGCCGGGCAGGTGAGGTGCACCGCGCACAGGTGAGCTCTGAGCAGGTGAGCCCTGAGCAGGTGAGCTCTTGAGCAGGTGAGCTCTGAACAGGTGAGCTCTTGAGCAGGTGAGCTCTGAGCAGGTGAGCTCTGAGCAGGTGAGCCCTGAGCAGGTGAGGTCTTGAGCAGGTGAGCTCTGAACAGGTGAGCTCTTGAGCAGGTGAGCTCTGAGCAGGTGAGCTCTTGAGCAGGTGAGCTCTGAGCAGGTGAGCTCTTGAGCAGGTGAGCTCTGAGCAGGTGAGGTCTGAGCAGGTGAGCTCTGAGCAGGTGAGCTCTTGAGCAGGTGAGCTCTTGAGCAGGTGAAGTCTGAGCAGGTGAGCTCTTGAGCAGGTGAGGTCTGAGCAGGTGAGCTCTGAGCAGGTGAGCCCTGAGCAGGTGAGCTCTGAACAGATACGTACACACCAAAGACGAAGATCCCCCTTGTAGCCTGTAACAGACTGTTGGGGCAAGTGCTGTTAGCGAGTAGCATGAAGGCCGGTACTGTGGCACACGAGGGGGTGGGTGGCCAGCACCACGCCCGGCCACCTTTGTCTCCCCAGTGGCGATGTTTCCACAACCCAGTGGGGCAGGATGAGGTATTCATCACTGATGTTGGCCGTGAATAGAGATCGTGTGGCCGAGTTTGTAGCGCAGTGTGCTAACCACTGCGCCACCGCTCACTACACAAAGATCCCCCGTATAGCTTTAACCGACTGTGAGGTTTGTCATTTAAACAAAACATGCCAATAAGTTACTGCTTCAGCCCACCGGCGTGTTGGAGAGTAAATCCACAACATTTACAATGTGAGTAGTACAACGTTTCGCTGGTAATTATATCCAGCATCATCGGGCGATTTGCCAGAATATTCGTACGCAAATTTTAAACGTTGTGGATTTACTCTCCAACACACCGGTGGGCTCAGGTTCTAAACCGATTGGCGCGTTTCCTTTACGTGACAAACCCTTACCGGCCATGTCGGGTGACGAAGGGTTACGACACGTGCCCATTCACGCGATCCAACCTGAAAAACCTTCATTACGAATTACATCGGTCGCGAAAGCCCCTACTACTTATTCTTGGTTCTTTCGGTAAAGTCACCACGTAGAAGGGAAACAATTAAATAATAAAACAATAAAATCTTCATGACATTTCGAATGCAACACAATCAATCATCATCAGGTGTGAAAACCACATGCATAAGGGAAACAATAAAGTAATAAAAATATAGAAACAATAAAATTATCACGACGTTTCGACTGCAACACAAGCAATCATCATCAGGTGTGAAAACCACATCAGGTGTGAAAACCACACCTGATGGTGATTGCTTGTGTTGCAGTCGAAACGTCGTGACAATTTTATTGCTTTATATTTTTATTACTTTATTGTTTCCCTTCTACGTGTGATTTTACCGAAAGAACCAAGAATATGAATCCCTGCAGTCACGAAAGCTTCAAACCCCCTACTACTTGTTACACCGTTGACAGACCGTCGGGGCAAGCGCCGTTAGCGAGCAGCGCCCGCCAGGGCCCAATCTTACCCGACACCCAGAGGCGCCCGTCCGCCACGCACCCGGCGTGGCAGGAGAGCGAGCGGTCGAAGGGGCGCACGAAGCTCCACGTGTCGGCCTCGGGGGAGTAGCGCTCCACCGTGGGCAGCACCTGGCGCAGCTCGTTACGCCCGCCGGCGGACATCAGCTGGCCGCCCAGCGCCCCTAGGACAAAGTGCTCGCGGCAGTTCCGCATGGAGGACACCTGCAGGGCGGTGGTGGGGTAAGGAGGCGGTGGTGGGCGGACAGAGGGTGATGGTGGTGGGGAGAGATGGCGGTGGTGGGGAGAGGGGTGGGGAGAGGGGAAAGATCGAGGGAGAGAGTGCGTATAGGGGGAGGGGTGTGGTGGAGAGAGAGTTTTGAGGGATGGCAGAAAAATGGAGCGGGAGGATGGGAGATAGTGTGGGACCCACAGGCTAACACTGTAGCCACAGACTTATATAGGAAGTCACAGACTAACACTGGAGCCACAGACTCATATGGGAAGTCACAGACTCATATGGGAAGTCACAGACTAACACTGTAGCCACAGACTTATATAGGAAGTCACAGGCTAACACTGTAGCCAGACTTATATAGGAAGTCACAGGCTAACACTGAAGCCACAGACTCATATAGGAAGTCACAGGCTAACACTGGACCCACAGACTTATATAGGAAGTCACAGACTAACACTGTAGCCACAGACTTATATAGGAAGTCACAGACTAACACTGAAGCCACAGACTCATATAGGAAGTCACAGGCTAACACTGTAGCCACAGACTTATATAGGAAGTCACAGGCTAACACTGTAGCCACAGACTTATATAGGAAGTCACAGACTTACACTGTAGCCACAGACTTATATAGGAAGTCACAGACTAACACTGGACCCACAGACTTATATAGGAAGTCACAGACTTACACTGTAGCCACAGACTTATATAGGAAGTCACAGACTAACACTGGAGCCACAGACTCATATAGGAAGTCACAGACTAACATTGTAGCCACAGACTCATATAGGAAGTCACAGACTAACACTGGACCCACAGACTTATATAGGAAGTCACAGACTTACACTGTAGCCACAGACTTATATAGGAAGTCACAGACTAACACTGGAGCCACAGACTCATATAGGAAGTCACAGACTAACATTGTAGCCACAGACTCATATAGGAAGTCACAGACTAACACTGTAGCCACAGATTCATATAGGAAGTCACAGAATAAAACTGTAGCCACAGACTTATATAGGAAGTCGCAGACTAACACTGTAGCCACAGACTTATACAGGAAGTCACAGACTAACACTGTAGCCACAGACTTATACAGGAAGTCACAGACTAACACTGTAGCCACAGACTTATACAGGAAGTCACAGACTAACACTGTAGCCACAGACTCATATAGGAAGTCACAGACTAACACTGGAGCCACAGACCAACAGACAGAGGCGCGGTGCGGTGCAGACAAAGGCACCATTATCCAGGTGTTGCTGCGCGGGTCGTAGCGGTAGACGTCTCGCACGGCGCGGTGGTCCACCTCCCCCCCCGCTACGAAGAGGAAGCCGCCCAGCACCGCGACGCTGTGGTGGCTGCGGCCGCTTATGAGGCAACCGCGGTCCCGCCACTCCCACGCCCCTCCGGGTACAGCTGCACCTGCGCAGTCATCACCGTCATCACCGTCATCACCATCATCATCACCGACACCTACACCAGCACCGTCATCACCATCATCATCACCGACACCTATACCAGCACCGTCATCACCATCATCATCACCGACACCTACACCAGCACCGTCATCATCATCACCGACACCTACACCTGCACCATCATCACCATCATCGCCACAATAAACACCGATACCTACACCAGCACCTGCATCATCATCATCGCCACCATGAACACCGACACCTACACCAGCACCTGCATCATCATCGCCACCATGAACACCGACACCTACACAAGCACCTGCGCCAACCACCACCATCATCACCATCAACACGGATACCTAAACAACCACCACCATCATCACCATGTACACCCATGCCGATGTAGTGTAATAGCGCCGGCTGGTGGACATCAGCGGCAACTGTGGTGGACAGACAGTACGACGCCGGTGAGCGTGTGTACGGGTGTGTTGACGGGTCGGAGGAACTGGGGCAAGGGTCTCGGAGGACCCTGTCTGGGAGCCCCTGGAACCTGCTAGTGGGTTCGAGAAGGGAGGCGTGGCCAGGGCGGAGCCAGGCCGTGCTGGTAGGATAGAAGGAGCCGAGAGCGGGCGGTCGAGGCTGCCGGGTTCTGGGATTGGATTCGTCTCGTCGTAGCTGCCGCCTTCGCTCGATATTGCGCTGCCAGATAGTTAATAATAGGGTTTTTACCCTTTTATCTGGAAACAAAACTGATACCTTTTTTTACAAGGGATCATGTCTTGCATTAACCACAACACTTGCGGTCAAAATGCAAGCAAAAAGACAACACTGATAATGTATTAGCACTGTCCTTGAAATTGATTGGTCCACACCCGAGACAGCTTTTCTTAGAGGCCAGTCTCACATGGTTGGTGTTGGACCAGATGACGCCAAAAGGCGCACAACTCAAAGTTGCACAACTCAAAGGAGTTTACAATAATAGGGTTTTTTCTGACAACAAAACTGAAACCTTTTTACGAGGATTCATGTCTGCATTAACCACAATACTTGCAGTCAAAATACAAACAAAAAACATACTATGATAATATATGATGCATTGTCCTTGAAACTGATTGGTCCACACCAGAGACGGCTTTCTTTTGAGCCTCGACCCAATTGGTGCTCGACCAGAGGATGCCAAAAGGCATACAGCTCAAAGACAATGCCACTATCAAAGTAATGAGGGCTCGGGGTGAGCATCTACATCATTAGACCTCCTTTGCCAGTACCAAAAGGAGTTTACATATCAACAGAGGAATTTATCATGTTGATGACATGCAGATATGGGGGGGTTAGTTACTCCTTGTGGAATGTGTAGGTGGTGGGGGGGTCTAAAAGTCATATTATGCTACGTATTATGTAGGATTAGCAAATACCCTACTACCATACAATAAACCGATGTGAAAAAACTAAATATTAACGACATCAATATAATCAATGTACTCAATATACTCTCCAATAAGCTGAGCTATTAACATTAAGTAACTGGGTATACACTACACTATATAATGACCAGCATATAGTAAACTGATACAAAAATAAAAAGGTTAAGCGACGGTAGAGAGCGTGCAGGCGAGAGCGTGAATGTTCTAAATAAAAGGTGCCTCCTACAAACCTCGTTTCAGAATCATTGACACTACACCTACACTAACAATATTATCACAACCCCTATCGACACCAACACTATCAACATCTACAGCAGCACCAATACAGCCACCATCAAAGTGTGCAACATCAGCACGGACACCAGAATCAGTGTGTGCAGCGTCAAAACAACTGCAGCGTCAACACGACTATAGTTTACATCAACAGGTACCCCATCACCACGTACACCTGCACCAAACCAAATAGCCATCAGTTACATCGTAAAATACCGTCACCAGCACCAGACCCAACCGGCATCGCACACCGTACAACCACCATCACACGCCAGTACAACCAGCGTCACACACCAGTACAACCAGCGTCACATGCCAGTACAACCAGCGTCACCACCAGTACAACCAGCGTCACACACCAGTACAACCAGCGTCACACACCAGTACAACCAGCATCACACACCAGTACAACCAGCATCGCACACCAGTACAACCAGCATCACACGCCAGTACAACCAGCATCACACGCCAGTACAACCACCGTCACACACCAGTACAACCAGCGTCACACGCCAGTACAACCAGTGTCACACACCAGTACAACCACAATCACACACCAGTACAACCACCATCACACACCAGTACAACCAGCGTCACACACCAGTACAACCAGCATCACACGCCAGTACAACCAGCATCACCACCAGTACAACCAGCGTCACACACCAGTACAACCACCATCACAAGCCAGTACAACCAGCATCACACGCCAGTACAACCAGGATCACACACCAGTACAACCAGCATCACCACCAGTACAACCAGCGTCACACACCAGTACAACCAGCGTCACACGCCAGTACAACCAGCGTCACACCAGTACAACCAGCATCACCATCAGTACAACCAGCGTCACACCAGTACAACCAACATCACACACCAGTACAACCAGCATCACACACCAGTACAACCAGCGTCACACACCAGTACAACCAGTGTCACACCAGTACAACCAACATCACACACCAGTACAACCAGCGTCACACACCAGTACAACCAGCGTCACACACCAGTACAACCAGCGTCACACACCAGTACAACCAGCGTCACACACCAGTACAACCAGCGTCACACACCAGTACAACGACCATCACACACCAGTACAACCAGCATCACACACCAGTACAACCAGCATCACACACCAGTACAACGACCATCAGACACCAGTACAACCAGCGTCACACCAGTACAACCAACATCACACACCAGTACAACCAGCGTCACACACCAGTACAACCAGCGTCACACACCAGTACAACCAGCATCACACACCAGTACAACCAGCATCACACACCAGTACAACCAGCGTCACACACCCAGTACAACCAGCATCACACACCAATACAACCAGCATCACACACCAGTACAACCAACATCACACACCAGTACAACCAGCGTCACACACCAGTACAACCAGCATCACACACCAGTACAACCAGCATCACACGCCAGTACAACTAACATCACATGCCAGTACAACCAGCATCACACACCAGTACAACCAGCGTCACACCAGTACAACCAGCGTCACACACCAGTACAACCAGCGTCACACACCAGTACAACCAGCGTCACATACCAGTACATCCAGCATCACACACCAGTACAACCAACGTCACACACCAGTACAACCAGCATCACACACCAGTACATCCAGCGTCACACACCAGTACAACCAACATCACACACCAGTACAACCAACGTCACACACCAGTACAACCAGCATCACACACCGGTACAACCAGCGTCACACACCAGTACAACCAGCATCACACACCAGTACAACCAGCATCACACACCAGTACAACCAGCATCACACACCAGTACAACCAGCATCACACGCCAGTACAACCAGCATCACACACCAGTACAACCAGCGTCACACACCAGTACAACCGCCATCACACACCAGTACAACCAGCAAACAAAGACGGTCACCACATCGCGCGCTTCCAGATGTCCTTCTGCGGCTGACTGGAACGCTCTTCCTACCGCTAAGCCACTGGAGCTATACACTTTTAAATTAATCATCTAGATTGACAAACTAATTTCTTTACAACTGTTTGTTGTTGTGTTTAGTTTGTTGTCCTTCTCCCCGCACCTCCGACTAGCGCAGTTGGCTAAGTACGGTACGAAAAAACATTCAACCTGCACACACTGCACAAACACAACCACCACTACCTCCAAATCCAGTAGCACCACCACCACGGCCGCCACCTCCTCTTGTCTCCCTCACCCGCCCCAGACCGACGTCCACACCTAAGGGAAACGAAAATACACAATCTGTATTAGTCCGGCAGATGCCAATGTCAGAATCATAAATCTTTGTTTGGACTGCAGGAGGAATCCGGTGAGCTGTGAAGCTCTTTTTGCACAGATGTCCCGTTGTGCAGCGCCGGAGGCTAGGAGATGTTAACTACCTCACCTGTTATGCAGGAGGTCATGGGTTCGATCGCGACCCTGACGCCTGCTGCTGTAGAGTTTGCGTGTCTCTCATCATCATCATCAAGGTGGCTAGGAGATGTTAACTACCTTGCCTGTTATGCAGGAGGTCATGGGTTCGATCCCGACTCTGACGTCTGCTGCTGTATATTTGGAGTTTGCGTGTCTCTCTCTCATCATCAAGGTGGCTAGGAGATGTTAACTCCCTCACCTGGTATAGTAAAACCTTGGATTGTGAGCATAATTCGTTCCAGAAACGTGTTTGTAATCCAAAGCACTCGTATATCAAAGCACTCGTATATCAGTTGAGATCACGTAACGCTCGGCAGACAAAGCGTACACGTACACTGCTCTTATTGCAAGACCTTCGCCCGTTTATCAAATTCATATTCATTTAAAAGTTTTGCTCATCTTGCAAAACACTCGCAGACCAAGTTACTCACAATCCAAGGTTTTACTGTATGCAGGAAGTCGTGAGTTCGATTCTGACCATGATGCCTGCTGTATATTTGGGAGTTTGCGCGTCTATCTTTATCATCATCCTCATCATCACGGTGGCTATGAGATGTTAACTCCCTCGCCTGGTATGCAAAAGGTCATGAGTTAAATCCCGACCCTGACGCCTGCTGCTGGATATTTGGAGTTTGCGTGTCTCTCTCTCTCTCCCCGTAGTCGCGTGGATTTTTCTCCGGGTCCTCCGGTTGTCCCCTCCACATTTACAATCAACGCCGCGCGTTTCGAGTATTCGGCTGATATAAATGTCCAAATACCTCTGGAGCCGCCGCCGCCGCCCTCTTCCTCGTCGTCGTCGTCAGCACGCTCATCGTCGTCGTCGTCTTCGTCGTCGCCGCCGCCGTCAGCATCGCTGCTGCCCTGGCGGCCGAAGCCGTCGCCCACCGGTCGCGTCCTCGTCCGGATGAGGTAGCGGATCTCGGACGCTTTGCTGGCGTCGCGCTTCTTGCCTCCGACCACGTGCAGCACCTTGCGTGGAGAGGAGCGGTTCTCTACGTGAGTCTATGGGTCTCTGCGTTGAGTCTATGGGTCTCTGCGTTGAGTCTATGGGTCTCTGCGTTGAGTCGATGGGTCTCTGCGTTGAGTCGATGGGTCTCTTTGTTGAGTCTATGGGTCTCTGTGTTGAGTCGATGGGTCTCTGCGTTGAGTCGATGGGTCTCTGCGTGAGTCGATGGGTCTCTTTGTTGAGTCTATGGGTCTCTGTGTTGAGTCTATGGGCCTCTGCGTGAGTCTATGGGTCTCTGCGTGAGTCGATGAGTCTCTGCTTGAATCTATGGGTCTCTGCGTGAGTCTGTGGGTCTCTGTGTGAGTCTGTGGGTCTCTAAGCAAGTCTATGGGTCTCTGTGTGAGTCTGTGGATCTCTAAGTAAGTCTATGGGTCTCTAAGTAAGTCTATGGGTCTCTAGGTGAGTCTATGGGTCACTATGTAAATGTGGGTCTCTATGCGAGTCTATGAGGTCTCTGTGTTGAGTCGATGGGTCTCTGCGTGAGTCTGTGGGTCTCTGCGTGAGTCGATGGGTCTCTTTGTTGAGTCTATGGGTCTCTGTGTTGAGTCTATGGGTCTCTGCGTGAGTCTATGGGTCTCTGCGTGAGTCGATGAGTCTCTGCTTGAATCTATGGGTCTCTGCGTGAGTCTGTGGGTCTCTGTGTGAGTCTGTGGGTCTCTAAGCAAGTCTATGGGTCTCTGTGTGAGTCTGTGGATCTCTAAGTAAGTCTATGGGTCTCTAAGTAAGTCTATGGGTCTCTAGGTGAGTCTATGGGTCACTATGTAAATGTGGGTCTCTATGCGAGTCTATGAGGTCTCTGCGTGAGTCGATGGGTCTCTGCGTGAGTCTGTGGGTCTCTAAGTAAGTCTATGGGTCTCTAGGTGAGTCTATGGGCCTCGAACCGAGTCTCTTTGTTGAGTCTATGGAAAAAAGTATTTGATCCCCTGCTGATTTTGTACGTTTGCCCACTGACAAAGAAATGATCAGTCTATAATTTTAATGGTAGGTTTATTTGAACAGTGAGAGAGAGAATAACAACAAAATCCAGAAAAACGCATGTCAAAATATTTATAAATTGATTTGCATTTTAATGAGGGAAATAAGTATTTGACCCCCTCTCAATCAGAAAGATTTCTGGCTCCCAGGTGTCTTTTATACAGGTAACGAACTGATATTAGGAGCACACTCTTAAAGGGAGTGCTCCTAATCTCAGCTTGTTACCTGTATAAAAGACACCTGTCCACAGACGCAATCAATCAGATTCCAAATTCTCCACCATGGCCAAGACCAAAGAGCTCTCCAAGGATGTCAGGGACAAGATTGTAGACCTACACAAGGCTGGAATGGGCTACAAGACCATTGCCAAGCAGCTTGGTCAGAAAGATGACAACAGTTGGTGTAATTATTCGCAAATGGAAGAAACACAAAAGAACTGTCAATCTGCCTCAGCCTGGGGCTCCATGCAACATCTCACCTCGTGGAGTTGCAATGATCATGAGAACAGTGAGGAATCAGCCCAGAACTACACGGGAGGATCTTGTCAATGATCTCAAGGCAGCTGGGACCATAGTCACCAAGAAAACAATTGGTAACACACTACGCCGTGAAGGACTGAAATCCTGCAGCGCCCGCAAGGTCCCCCTGCTCAAGAAAGCACATATACATGCCCGTCTGAAGTTTGCCAATGAACATCTGAATGATTCAGAGGACAACTTGGTGAAAGTGTTGTGTCAGATGAGACCAAAATGGAGCTCTTTGGCATCAACTCAACTCGCCGTGTTTGGAGGAGGAGGAATGCTATGACCCCAAAAACGCCATCCCCACCGTCAAACATGGAGGTGGAAATATTATGCTTTGGGGGTGTTTTTCTGCTAAGGGGACAGGACAACTTCACCGCATCAAAGGGACGATGGACGGGGCCATGTACCGTCAAATCTTGGGTGAGAACCTCCTTCCCTCAGCCAGGGCATTGAAAATGGGTCGTGGATGGGTATTCCAGCATGACAATGACCCAAAACACACGGCCAAGGCAACAAAGGAGTGGGTCAAGAAGAAGCACATTAAGGTCCTGGAGTGGCCTAGCCAGTCTCCAGACCTTAATCCCATAGAAAATCTGTGGAGGGAGCTGAAGGTTCGAGTTGCCAAACGTCAGCCTCGAAACCTTAATGACTTGGAGAAGATCTGCAAAGGGGAGTGGGACAAAATCCCTCATGAGATGTGTGCAAACCTGGTGACCAACTACAAGAAACGTCTGACCTCTGTGATTGCCAACAAGGGTTTTGCCACCAAGTACTAAGTCATGTTTAGCAGAGGGGTCAAATACTTATTTCCCTCATTAAAATGCAAATCAATTTATAACATTTTGACATGCGTTTTTCTGGATTTTGTTGTTGTTATTGTCTCTAACTGTTAAAATAAACCTACCATTAAAATTATAGACTGATCATTTCTTTGTCAGTGGGCAAACGTACAAAATCAGCGGGGGATCAAACACTTTTTTTCCCTCGCTGTATATAAACATTCTGATGAAGGGCTTGTCTTGCTACCGCTTACCACCGTTACGCCCCCTTCCCTACACCCCCCCTCTCCCCGCCGCCGCGGCCGCGGCCACCGCGTCTCACCATCCCGCGGTGACGTAGCCGCGACTGCGCCGTCTGCCGCACGGGCTGGGCGTGCTCGTGGGCGTGGTACGCCAGCGCCTCCTCCACCAGCAGACGGCACGACGATGAGGAGGAGGGTGACGACGAGACAGGGAAGCGCGTCGCACCGCCGCCCCGGTTCTCGCCCGTTGCTCCTTCGGTGTTGCGGGCGCCGTTTCTGGCGGCGACGGCGGCGTTGTTGTTGGTCGCCGCGCCGGTGCCGCCGGCGCCGGTTTCGCCGGCGTCGGCGGGGCCGTTGCCGTTGGCGTCGTCCATGGCGATGGCTCGGGGCAGCACCATCGCCCGGAGCACCACCGGGTCGAGCAGGGCGAGGCGGACGCACGACAGCGCCTCGCTGGCGCGGGGCAGGCGCGACGTGGGGTCGTGAGACAGCCAGCGCAATGTGAGCTGGGACGCGCGGCGGAGGGGGGGGGGGGGGGGAGAGATTAAAGTCGTGGTCATGCGCCAAAAACGTACGTGTGTGTTGTGCGTGTGTGTGACGTGTGTGTCGTGTGTGTGTTATGTGTGTCATTTGTGTGTGTTGTGTGTCGTGTGTGTGTCGTGTGTGTGTCGTGTGTGTGTGTCGTGTTGTGTGTGTAGTGTGTGTGTGTTGTGTGTGTGTCATGTGTGAGTGTGTGTATTGCGTGTGTGTGTCGTGTGAGTGTGTGCAATGTGTGAGTCCGGTAAAACAACCCCCTACCTCCTCGCGGTGCCGGAGGGGCAACTCTGTCGTGGACAGTGCTGTGGGGGGAGGGACAATTCGGATTGGCCTCTCCCCTCATAGCGTCTGTGACCACCACAGTGGCTAAACGGGGTCTCTGGACGGGTGCGAGGGGCTGGTAACCCCTCCACCTTCAATAAATTACCACTAAACCACGAATTAAATATGTAACTAATAAGCTTGTGGCAGAGGCCCCAGGGGGACAGGCGTCTATGACGTCTCCTGGCCAAACCCCAATTGGTGGAGCCAGGAGATTGAATCTTTACCCTCGGGGCTCCTCCAAAAACAACGAAAGGCCACTTCGTGTGGCCACGTGGAATGTTCGAACGCTCACTGCGGAAGACAGGCTGCCACTCCTCTGTCGGGAGCTGGACCGGTACCGCCTGGATCTCTGTGGCATTCAGGAGGTCCGGTGGACCGGTTCTGGCTCCTGCCACCATGAGGGGTGGACAGTCCTCTACTCGAGGCAGCAGACTGCCAAACAACAGGATGTGGCTCTTCTTTTGAATAAAAGAATGAAGGGGGCGTGGGAGCGTGGCGGTGAGGTGTGGGAAGCTGTAAGCCCTAGGCTACTTTGGGCTCGCCTTCCCATCAACCGGAGGCGAGGAGTGGTGGTCGTGGTTACTTATGCCCCCACCGAAGACGAACATCCGTGGAGGGATGCAGGCAAAGCCGATGAGTCAGATGCCTTCTATGACCTCCTGTCACAGGTGCTGGCTAAAGTGGCACTTCGGGATAGAGTCATCATGTTGGGTGACTTCAATGCCCGAGTTGGTCATGATGCTGGCACCTGGTTTGGAGTGATTGGAGGGCATGGGCCAGATCAGCTCAATAACAACGGTAGGAGGCTGCTAGATTATTGTGCAGCCCATGGGCTTGTAATTACCAACACGCTGTTCTGGCATCGGCGCATCCACACAACATCATGGATGCATGCCGGGTCCAAGCAAGAACATCTGCTGGACTACATAGTGACGGACCAGCGGATGCGAGCCCATGTCCTTGACACCAGGACCTACCGTGGAGCTGATCTGCCCTTTGACCATCGACTAGTCATCTGTAAGATGCGCCTGCCATTCTTCCACTCCGGTGGTGGGTGTACACCCAGGACACTATTCCAACCTAAAGTGGCCTGGTCTCAGTTAACTGATGAAAGTTGCAAGCGAGAATTTCATCATCGCTTGCGGCTGGGGTTGGCATCGTCCCCCACTCCTCCTGATGTTGAGGGTAAATGGGCGAGGCTTAGGACTGTGACTCATGCAGCTGCAATGGCTGCTTTGGGTACGTGGTCCAGACCTACCCAGAGACCCTGGCTGACAGACGAGGTGTTCAGGATAGTTGAGAAAAAGCGACAGGCCCACTCTCATCGGCTACAGCATCCCACGTCAGAGAATGAGGAGGCTTACTGCAGCCTTCGCTCGGAGGTTCGGAGAGCCGTGAGTCGCTGCAAGGATGAGTGGTGGTCGCGGGTTGCTGAGGAGATGGAGTCTGCCTCAGTGGCCCGCGATCACAAATCTCTATTTAACTCCATCAAAAAAGTAACCTGCAGCGCCACACCAATTACCATCATTAGGGGAAAAAACGGTGATCCAATCTCTGACCCCCAGGAACAGGTTTGCAGATTTGCTGAGCATTTCTGTGAGGTCCAGGGGGAGGGGAAATCCCTCAGCCAGGAAAACATCGTGGCACAAAGTGGAGATGACCCTGCTGAGGCTGCAGTGCCTCAAATATTGAAAGAAGTCACCCCCTGTGAGTGGCTGGCTGAGGTGCCATCTGTTCAGGAAGTACTGAAGGCGATCCGGAGTCTGAGACCAGGAAAGGCACCGAGTAGAGATGATCTCCCAAGTGAAATGCTGAGGGAGGGTGGCGTTTGTGCACAGACTGCCCTATATGACATCATAACAACAGTCTGGACCACTGGACAGGTTCCGCAGGATTGGAAGGATCCCCTGGTGGTCCCTCTCTTTAAGAAGGGGGACCACACAGACTGTAACAACTACAGGGGCATCTCAATTCTCAGTGTGCCGGGAAAGGTCCTGGCAAGGATCATTCAACATCGCCTTGCCAGGCACGCTGAGGAGAGGCTTGCGGAGCCCCAGTGCGGTTTCAGGAAAGGGCGGTCCTGCACAGATGCCATATTTTCTGTCCGTCTGCTACAGCAGAGGTGTAGGGAATTCCAACAAGACCTACATCTTTGCTTTATTTACCTGGTCAAGGCCTATGATACCATCAGTAGGCCTGGGCTCTGGGTTGTTCTTCGTGCTTTTGGAGTCCCTGACCCTCTGCTCACGATCATTAAGGACCTTCATGATGGTGAGCGGGCCCGGGTAAAACTACGTGGCCGGGAGTCAGAGCCATTCCCTGTACACCTTGGGGTGCGACAGGGATGTCCTCTGGCTCCCACATTATTTAACATCTATTTTGACCACGTAGTTCGTGAAGCCTTCAATAGCTGTACCAGGGGAATCTCCATTTGGTACAGATATAATGAGAGGCTGATCGATGCCCGGGTGCGGTCAAGGGATGGCTCCCTATTGCTCAACCACGTTATGTATGCCGATGATTTTGTAATAGCTGCTCATTCAGAGGAGGAGTTGGAGACGCTGCTGCTGAGACTGGAGCGTGCCACTAAGAGATGGGGCCTTACCATCAGCCCCACCAAAACTAAGCACCTGCCTGGGTATTTTGTACCATCGGACACTCCACCCCCACAACTCCCAATCGGTGATGGGGCAGTTGTGGAGAGAGTGGAGAGTTTCCCATACCTGGGCAGTGTGCTTATGACCGACACGTGTGTACGTGTGTGTGTGTACGTGTGTGTCGTGTGTGTGTGTTTCGTGTGTGAGCGGTAGTGTAGCGGTTAGCGCACTGTGCTATGAACCTGGCGACCCAGATTCGATTCCCGCTCACGGCCAACACCAGTGACGATTATCTGAACCGGTTCCGGGCCTCCCCTAGGTCGACTCAGCCTCAAATGAGTACCTGGTGCCATGTGCTCGCTAACATCACTTGCCCTTACAGTCTGTTAAGGCTAAATGGAGGATCTTTATCTTTGCTGTGTGGGGAGCGATGGCGTAGCAATTAGCCCACACGAAAAGCAGTTCTCAAGAAATTAGTTTCCAATTTAGTATAGTGGTGAAATGTTTGGTGTAGTGTGTCATAGTGTATACCATACAACACTACTATGCAGTACACTACACACTACTATACACGACACAATACACTACACTATACACTACACTAATATTCTGCCCACGGATTCCGCTCTTCATGCGAGCACCATCAACCCCTCTCTGTCCGTCTCTCTCTCCATCTATCTCCATCTCTCTGTCTCTCAGTGTTTCTCTCTGCCCATCTCTCTTTGAGTTTCACTCTCTCAGTGTCTCTCTCTCTGTTTGTCTCTCTCTCCCTGTCACTTTCTCTGTCTTGCTCTGTCTGTCCCTCTCTCTGTCTCTCTCTCTGTCCATCTCTCCATCTCTCCATCCCCGTCTGTCTCTCTCTATCTCTCTCTCCGTCTCTCTCTCTCTCGCACCATCTCCCACTCCGTCCGTCCGTCTCTCCGTCGGCTCACCAAGAAGAGGTCCAGCTCCGAGAAGTTCGTGAGCGAGTCGCTGCGCAGCACGGCGCCGAGCAGCGACAGCGGCAGCGCCATCACATGGAGGGGGCGTGAGCGCAGCAGCGAGCGCAGATTGCGCTCCACGAAGCGAGCGAGCGCCGTCTGCAGGCCCGGCAGGCTGTACGTGTCGGCGAGCCAGTGCATGAACTCCAGGTTCTCCAGCGTCACCTCCTGCAGGGGGCCAGCGGCACCGCCGTCAACGCCGCCGCGACCGCTACCGTCACCGCCACCGCCGCCGCCGCGACCACCGCCATGGCCACCGCCACCATCGCCACTATTGCCACCGCCACCATCGCCACCATCGCCACCACCGTCATGGCCACCGCCGCCACCGCCACCATCGCCACCGCCACCATCGCCACCATCGCCACCGCCACCATCACCACCACCGTCATCGCCACCATCGCCACCATCGCCACCATCGCCACCACCACCATCACCACCATCGCCACCATCACCACCACCGTCATGGCCACCGCCGCCATCGCCACTATTTCCACCATCGCCACCACCATCGCCACCATCGCCACCACCACGACTGCCACCATCCCCACCACCACTACAACCACCGCCACGGTGATCGCCATGATGAGTTTATCCCGAAGGCCTTCACGCCCGCAGTCGCGATTCGCAATCCGTTTCATTTTCAGACCGGGGAATCGTTGCTTCGGCTGGGGCAGGAGGAATGCGGCGAGCTACGATTGTCCGCTACCACGGGTGTCCGGTAAGGGGGGGGGTGTGTGGTGGGGTCAAGTGAGTTTATACGAGCGCAGAGAGAAGAGCGGGAGAGGGGCCGAGATGCAGGAAAGGTTAAGCGAGGTCGCTACCCCTACTATGATCACCCAGGAACGTCTGTTCTTAACGCTGGTGACATCACTCCACATCGACCAGCCCCCCTCATTAATAATCATGAGCAGGTGACGTCCTCCAAATAGACACCTTCCCCCCCCCTCACTAATAATCATGAGCAAGTGACGTCACTCGCCATCGAACAGCCCCCCTCATTAAGAATCATGAGCAGGTGAAGTCCTCCATATGGACACACCCCCACCCCCCCCCCCCCCATTATTACCTACTAAGAATGTCTGTGTGCAACGCTCGTGACGTCACTCCACATCGACCAGCCTCCCTCATTAATAATCATGAGCAGGTGACATCCTCCACATGGACACCCCCCCCCCCCATTAATAATAATTGGCGCCCTTACAAACTGCACACGCACTAATGCAATGAATATATCACGTCGCGGTCCGATTTTCGCTTGCAAGTTTAAGATTTACTGCAATACAGCCGTCCTTGGACGGGCAATATGGCGAGTGAATCAATGCTAGGCATGGCCTTGTTCAGGTTGCGCGAGCACGTAAGTTCGTGTCGATGTGTCAACACCAAAGGGTTCCAACCGTGGGGCGTGAACGCCGCACCTCGGCGAGTCTACGGGTCCCTGTGGGAGTCTACGGGTCTCTGAGCGAGTCTACGGGTCTCGGTGCGAGTCTACGGGTCTCTGAGCGAGTCTACGGGTCTCTGAGCGAGTCTACGGGTCTCTGTGCGAGTCTACGGGTCTCCGTGTGAGTCTACGAGTCTCTGTGCGTGTCTACGGGTCTCTGTGCGAGTCTACGGGTCTCTGTGCGAGTCTACGGGTCTCTGTGCGTGTCTACGGGTCTCTGTGCGTGTCTACAGGTCTCTGTGCGAGTCTACGGGTCTCTGTGCGAGTCTACGGGTCTCTGTGCGAGTCTACGGGTCTCTGTGCGAAACTACGGGTCTCTGTGCGAGTCTACGGGTCTCTGTGCGAGTCTACGGGTCTCTGTGTGAGTCTACGGGTCTCTGTGCGAGTCTACAGGTCTCTGTGCGAGTCTACGGGTCTCTGTGCGAGTCTACGGGTCTCTGTGCGAGTTTACGGGTCTCTGTGCGAGTCTATGGGGTCTCTGTGTGAGTCTATGGGGTCTCTATGTGAGTCTATGGGGTCTCTGTGTGAGTCTATGGGGTCGCTATGTGAGTCTACGGGTCCCTGTACGAGTCTACGGGTCTCTGTGCGAGTCTAGGGGTCTCTGTGAGAGTCTACGGGTCTCTGTGCGGTCTTACGGGTCTCTGTGCGAGTCTATGTGTCTTTTTGCGAATCTAGGGGTCTCTGTGCGAGTCTATGTGTCTTTTTGCGAGTCTACGGGTCTCTGTGCGAATCTAGGTGTCTCTGTGCGAGTCTAGGGGTCTCTGTGAGAGTCTACGGGTCTCTGTGCGAGTCTACGGGTCACTGTGCTAGTCTACGGGTCTCTGTACGAGTCTATGGGTCTCTGTGCGAGTCTACGGGTCTCTGTGCGAGTCTAGGGGTCTCTGTGAGAGTCTACGGGTCTCTGTGCGAGTTTACGGGTCTCTGTGCGACTCTACTGGTCTCTGTGCGAGTCTACGGGTCTCTGGGTGATTCTACGGGTCTCTGCGAGTCTACGGGTCCCTGTTGCGAGTCTACGGGTCTCTGGGTGATTCTACGGGTCTCTGCGAGTCTACGGGTCTCTGTGCGATCTTACGGGTCTCTGTGCGAGTCTATGTGTCTCTGTGCGCGTCTACGGGTCTCTGTGCGAGTCTACGGGTCTCTGTGCGTGTCTACGGGTCTCTGTGCGAAACTACGGGTCTCTGTGCGAGTCTACGGGTCTCTGTGTGAGTCTACGGGTCTCTGTGGGAGTCTACGGGTCTCTGTGTGAGTATATGGGGTCTCTGTGTGAGTCTATGGGTCTCTGTGTGAGTCTATGGGGTCTCTGTGTGAGTCTATGGGGTCTCTATGTGAGTCTACGGGTCTCTGTATGAGTCTCTGTACGAGTCTACGGGTCTCTGTGCGAGTCTACGTGTCTCTATGCGAGTCTACGGGTCTCTGTGCGAGTCTACGGGTCTCTGTGCGTGTCTACGGGTCTCTGTGCGAAACTACGGGTCTCTGTGCGAGTCTACGGGTCTCTGTGTGAGTCTACGGGTCTCTGTGGGAGTCTACGGGTCTCTGTGTGAGTATATGGGGTCTCTGTGTGAGTCTATGGGTCTCTGTGTGAGTCTATGGGGTCTCTGTGTGAGTCTATGGGGTCTCTATGTGAGTCTACGGGTCTCTGTATGAGTCTCTGTACGAGTCTACGGGTCTCTGTGCGAGTCTACGTGTCTCTATGCGAGTCTATGGGTCTCTGTGCAAGTCTACGGGGCTCTGTGCGAGTCTACGGGTCTCTGTGCGAGTCTACGGGTTTCCGTGCGAGTCTACGGGTCTCTGTGTGAGTCTATGGGTCTCCGTGCGAGTCTACGGGGTCTCTGTGTAAGTCTATGGGTCTCTGTGTGATTCTATGGGTCTCCGTGCGAGTCTACGGGTCTCTGTGTGAGTCTATGGGTCTCTGTGCGAGTCTACGGGTCTGTGTGAGTCTACGTGTCTCTGTGCGAGTCTACGGGTCTCTGTGCGAGTCTACGGGTCTCTGTGCGAGTCTACGGGTCTCTATGCGAGTCTACGGGTCCCTGTGCGAGTCTACGGGTCCCTGTGCGAGTTTACGGGTCTCTGTGTGAGTCTACAGGGCCCTGTGCGAGTCTACGGGTATCTGTGCGAGTCTACGGGTCTCTGTGCGAGTCTACGGGTCTCTTTCCGAGTCTACAGGTCTCTGTGTGAGTCTACGGGGCTCTGTGCGAGTCTAGGGGTCTCTATGTGAGTCTACGGTCTCTGTGCGAGTCTATGGGTCTCTGTGCGAGTCTATGGGTCTCTGTGCGAGTCTACGGGTCTCTGAGACCTCGGTGTAATCTCTGTGGCTGTGCGACTGAAACCCAGAGTGTAACTCAGACTCTCGGAGGTGCCGGCTCAGGACCTCTGACCCCTGGAGTGACCCAAACATTCCACAGATACCTGAGCAGCTCTCCTTCCTGACCAGGAATGAAACCGAAAACTTTAATACTTGTTATTTTACCCAGGTGTAAGGCCCCCACTGAGCATCTACGTAGCTCAATTTCAGAAGGGACCTGGCCATCACGAATGACAGCTCAACGAAGTGGGATTACCACCACCATCATCATCACGTGGAAATGTATAGCAGCAACCAGGCACTCTAAACTACACACATTTTTTTTTCCCTCGCGAATTACGATGACGTATCGGCATCGATGTCGCTATGACGACAGTAATTATTATGATGATGATGATGAGTTGGCAATGGTTGAATCTGGATGTCCTTTGCCTCAAGGGTGGGAGGGGGTCATTATGGCCGTGCCAGAGACACTGTGCCAGCACTGCTGAGATCTGAGGTTCAAGCTCCAGCTCTGGGTCTCTCTCTCTCTCTCTCACACACACACAAGGTTCGTGATGGCTGTTTCAGGTGCCACGGTGGCTAGGAGATGTTAACTACCTCGCCCGGTATACAGGCGGTCGCGGGTTCGATTCCGACTCTGACGCCCGCTGCTGCATATTTGGAGTCTGCGTGTCTCTCTCATCATCATCATCACGGTGGCTAGGAGATGTTAACTACCTCGCCTGGTACACAGGAGGTCGCGGGTTCGATCCCGACCCTGACACCTGCTGCTGCTGTATATTTGGAGTTTGCGTGTCTCTCTCTCTCCCAACGGTTGCGTGGATTTGTCTCCGGCCCCTCCAGTGTTTCCCTCCACGTTTAGAATCACGTGCTTAAGAGTATTTGCCTGCTGTACATTTGCACACGACGGCGATGAGAATCCCAGAGCTGCGTACCAGCTCAGTGGGTCTTGGCTGGTTAAATAAAAAAAAAACTGTTTAGTTTCAGTAACGCCGATATATTCCACTGTTCAAGCTCCTGGGTGTGACTCTTCCTTCCTCACGGGCAATTACAAATTGCCACGCAAGCCTACGTCACCTGGGCAAGGTAGTTTGAGCAGAGTTGCAGGATCTCCAGGAACTGCAGGTGGTTAGCAGCGGAAAGAACATCCTGGATGTTCTTGGGGTCCAGGACGATCTGCCGGGCCGCGCGCACGCACACATACACGCACACACACGCACACACGTACACATGCACACACACGTACACACGCACACACGCACACACACATGCACGCACGCACACACACGCACGCGCACATACACGCACACACGCACGCGAACACACGTACACATGCACACGCACACACACACGCACACACGCACACACGTACACACGTACACACGCACGCACGCGAACACATGCACGCACGCACACACAGACTGTTGTTGAGGCAAGTGCTGTTCGCGAGCGCCTATGAAGGCCGGCACGGCGCATGAGGCGGCGGGTGGCCAGCACCACGCCCGAGACCGCCTCTCTCTCTCCCCAGTGGCGATGTTTGCACACCGCACCAAGCACTGATCTGAGGCCGAGTTGACCTAGGGCAGGCCCGGGACCGGTGATCCCAAACGAGCGATCCGCCGCGCTCCAGGATGACGATCCCGCCGTGGCGCCTCATCAGGCGTCGCCGCGCGAATCGCCCTCGCTCGCAGCGCCCGCCCCTGGCCCGGCCGTCGGGCAAAGACGCCCGCACCCGGTTGCGCTTGCTCCGCGGCCGTCTGGAACGCTCTTTCCCCGCCGATGTTAGGAGAGCGAGCCGGGCGCTCCGACGCGCTTTCAAATCGCCGTCTCGAGTGGCCAACTCGTTTCTCTGGAACTGCTCGCCGCCGCCGCCGCCGCAACGCCGCCGCCGCCGCGTTTGGTTTTGTCGGCCTTGCCCCCGCCACGTCCGAGTCGTTGGGTCGGCTACGCACGGCGCGGGTAGAAGTCCGGCGCGCGGTGCGAATGCTTGCGGGAGACGTTTCGGCATTGGGGGAATGTCGTGGCCGTCGCTGCAGACGCAGACAACCGCCCCCGTGACCGGTCGTGACCCCGGCGAGGAGGCCGAGTGGCGGAGAGGTCAGGGAGGGCGCCGAGCCAGCGAGCGCTGTGACGACACTCCAATGCCAAGTGCGGTGAGTTGGTGGTTGCAGCTCGACACCCATCGAATTACAGAGACCCGTAGACTTACACAGAGACCCATAGACTTACACAGAGACCCATAGACTTACACAGAGACCCATAGACTTACACAGAGACCCATAGACTTACATAGAGACCCAATGACTCACACAGAGACCCATAGACTTACACAGAGACCCAAAGACTTACACAGAGACCCAGAGACTTACACAGAGACCCATAGACTTACACAGAGACCCATAGACTTACACAGAGACCCATAGACTTACACAGAGACCCATAGACTTACACAGAGACCCATAGACTAACACAGAGACCCATAGACTTACACAGAGACCCATAGACTTACACAGAGACCCAATGACTTACACAGAGACCCATAGACTTACACAGAGACCCATAGACTTACACAGAGACCCAAAGACTTACACAGAGACCCATAGACTTACACAGAGACCCATAGACTTACATAGAGACCCAATGACTCACACAGAGACCCATAGACTTACACAGAGACCCAAAGACTTACACAGAGACCCAGAGACTTACACAGAGACCCATAGACTTACACAGAGACCCATAGACTTACACAGAGACCCATAGACTTACACAGAGACCCATAGACTTACACAGAGACCCATAGACTAACACAGAGACCCATAGACTTACACAGAGACCCATAGACTTACACAGAGACCCAATGACTTACACAGAGACCCATAGACTTACACAGAGACCCATAGACTTACACAGAGACCCAAAGACTTACACAGAGACCCATAGACTTACACAGAGACCCATAGACTTACACAGAGACCCATAGACTTACACAGAGACCCATAGACTTACACAGAGACCCATAGACTTACACAGAGACCCATAGACTTACACAGAGACCCATAGACTTACACAGAGACCCATAGACTTACACAGAGACCCATAGACTTACACAGAGACCCATAGACTAACACAGAGACCCATAGACTTACACAGAGACCCATAGACTTACACAGAGACCCATAGACTTACACAGAGACCCATAGACTTACACAGAGACCCATAGACTTACACAGAGACCCATAGACTTACACAGAGACCCATAGACTAACACAGAGACCCATAGACTTACACAGAGACCCATAGACTTACACAGAGACCCATAGACTTACACAGAGACCCATAGACTTACACAGAGACCCATAGACTTACACAGAGACCCATAGACTTACACAGAGACCCATAGACTTACACAGAGACCCATAGACTAACACAGAGACCCATAGACTTACACAGAGACCAAATGACTTACACAGAGACCCATAGACTTACACAGAGACCCATAGACTTACACAGAGACCCATACACTTACACAGAAACCCATAGACTTACACAGAGACCCATAGACTTACACAGAGACCCAATGACTAACACAGAGACCCATAGACTTACACAGAGACCCATAGACTTACACAGAGACCCATTGACTTACACAGAGACCCATAGACTTACACAGAGACCCATAGACTTACACAGAGACCCATACACTTACACAGAAACCCATAGACTTACACAGAGACCCATAGACTTACACAGAGACCCAATGACTAACACAGAGACCCATAGACTTACACAGAGACCCATAGACTTACACAGAGACCCAAAGACTTACACAGAGACCCATAGACTTACACAAAGACCCAAAGACTTACACAGAGACCCATAGACATAGTTTAACACTTAGTAATAATATGGCTTTCCTGACCAATGTTATCAATAATGAAATATTTCTGGGTTTGATCACGTGAATATAAATGTGTTCAACCCGCCACCACCCGACATAGCCAACGAGTAATAGGCTTTTTCACGGAAATGTTTTCATTATTATTTATCGCTCCGTGAACTCCGCCACCGATCGCTCCGTGAACTCCGCCACCGATCGCTCCGTGAACTCCGCCACCGAACGCTCCGTGAACTCCGCCCCCGATCGCTCTGTGAACTCCGCCACCGACCGCTCCGTGAACTCCGCCCCCGATCGCTCCGTGAGCTCCGCCACCGACCGCTCCGTGAACTCCGCCACCGACCGCTCCGTGAACTCCGCCCCCGATCGCTCCGTGAACTCCGCCACCGACCGCTCCGTGAACTCCGCCCCCGATCGCTCCGTGAACTCCGCCCCCGATCGCTCCGTGAACTCCGCCACCGATCGCTCCGTGAACTCCGCCCCCGATCGCTCCGTGAACTCCGCCACCGACCGCTCCGTGAGCGCCGCCCCCGATCGCTCCGTGAACTCCGCCACCGATCGCTCCGTGAACTCCGCCACCGATCGCTCCGTGAACTCCGCCACCGATCGCTCCGTGAACTCCGCCACCGATCGCTCCGTGAGCGCCGCCCCCGATCGCTCCGTGAACTCCGCCCCCGATCGCTCCGTGAACTCCGCCACCGATCGCACCGTGAACTCCGCCACCGATCCCTCCGTGAACTCTGCCACCGAACGCTCCGTGAACTCCGCCACCGATCGCTCCGTGAACTCCGCCACCGACCGCTCCGTGAACTCCGCCCCCGATCGCTCCGTGAACTCCGCCACCGATCGCTCCGTGAACTCCGCCCCCGATCGCTCCGTGAACTCCGCCCCCGATCGCTCCGTGAACTCCGCCCCCGATCGCTCCGTGAACTCCGCCACCGATCGCACCGTGAACTCCGCCACCGATCCCTCCGTGAACTCTGCCACCGAACGCTCCGTGAACTCCGCCACCGATCGCTCCGTGAACTCCGCCACCGACCGCTCCGTGAACTCCGCCCCCGATCGCTCCGTGAACTCCGCCACCGATCGCTCCGTGAACTCCGCCCCCGATCGCTCCGTGAACTCCGCCCCCGATCGCTCCGTGAACTCCGCCACCGAACGCTCCGTGAACTCCGCCCCCGATCGCTCCGTGAACTCCGCCCCCGATCGCTCCGTGAACTCCGCCCCCGATCGCTCCGTGAACTCCGCCCCCGATCGCTCCGTGAACTCCGCCCCCGATCGCTCCGTGAACTCCGCCACCGATCACTCCGTGAACTCCGCCCCCGATCGCTCCGTGAACTCCGCCACCGATCGCTCCGTGAACTCCGCCCCCGATCGCGCCGTGAGCTCCGCCACCGACCGTGCCGGGTGCGAGCCCACCTGCCCCGTGTAGGCAAAGTCGAGCACGTGCTGAAGACCCAGGGCGCTGATCCCCTTGAGAGAGATCTCCTCGGCTCCGCTCTCCAGCATCGAGATGCTGAACATCGCCTGCAAAGACAAAGATCCTCATCTCCTGCGTCCGCCCCCTCCATCCATCCCTGTGGCCTTTAACAGCCTGTTTAACACGTAGGCTTTAGAACCAATCATCATCGTCGTCGTCATCAAATCTAGATTCAAAAATAATTTATTTACAACTGCTTGTTATTGTTGTTGTGTTTGGTTTTGTTGTCCTTCCCCCGCACCTCCGATGCGAAAGGAGTTAAACATACATACACACTACTCTACACTACATACTACACTACTATACACTACACTACATACTACACTACTATACACTACATACTACACACTACACTACTCTACACTACATACTACACTACTCTACATACTACACTACTCTACACTACATACTACACTACTCTACACTACATACTACACTAATATACACTCCACTAATACACTACACCACTATACTACGTTGAAAACTAATTTATTTAGAACTGCTTCTTGTTGTTGTTGTTGTGTTCGAGTTTGTGGTCCTTCCCCCAGCACCTCCGATTAGCGCGGTTGGCTACGTACGGTGCGAGAGAAGTTGAACATTCACACATCACGACCCACGGGCAGACAGCCCACGCAGTCGTAGTTGTGCGGGCGTCCGCCGCAAGTTTCCTCGCTCTCTGTCTTGCTGTGCCAATACGCTCAAGAAGTGCACGTCATAGTCGTGTATTGTAGTGTACAGCAGTGTAGTGTGTAGTAGTGTAGTGTAGAGTAGTGTATTGTATAGTAGTGTAGTGTATAGTAGTGTAGTGTATAGTGTAGTGTATAATAGTGTATATTGTATTGTATAATAGTATAGTGTACAGTGTATTGTATAATAGTGTAGTGTATTGTATAATAGTGTAGTGTATAATGTAGTGTATAGTGTATTGTATAAGTGTACATTGTATTGTATAATAGTGTAGTGTACAGTTTATTGTATGATAGTGTAAGTGTACAGTGTATTGTATAAGTGTAGTGTATAATGTAATGTACAGTGTATTGTATAAGTGTAGTGTATAATGTAATGTACAGTGTATTGTGTAATAGTGTAGTGTACAATGTATTGTGTAATAGTGTAGTGTATAATGTAATGTACAGTGTATTGTATAATAGTGTAGTGGTATTGTATAATAGTGTAGTGTACAGTGTATTGTATAATAGTGTGGTATGTAATGTACAGTGTATCGTATAATGGTGTATTGTGCAGTGTATTGTATAATAGTGTAGTGTATAGTGTATTGTATAAGTGTAGTGTACAGTGTATTGTGTAATAGTGTATTGTACAGTGTATTGTATAATAGTGTAGTGTACAGTGTATTGTATAGTAGTGTATAATGTAATGTACAGTGTATTGTGTAATAGTGTAGTGTATTGTACAGTGTATTGTATAATGTGTAGTGTATAGTGCAGTGTACAGTGTATTCTATAATAGTGTAGTGTACAGTGTATTGTGTAATAGTGTAGTGTCTAGTGTAGTGTACAGTGTATTGTGTAGTGTCTAGTGTAGTGTACAATGTATTGTATAATAGCGTAGTGTATAATGTAGTGTACAGTGTATTGTATAATAGTGTAGTGTATAGTGTAGTGTATGTAGTGTACAGTGTGTTGTATAATAGTGTAGTGTATAGTGTAGTGTACAGTGTATTGTATAAGTGTAGTGTATAGTATAAGTGTAGTATATAGTGGAGTGTATAATGTAGTGTAGAGTGTATTGTATAATAGTGTAGTGTATAATGTAGTGTACAGTGCATTTTGTAATAGTGTAGTGTATAGTGTATAATGTAGTGTACAGTGTATTGTGTAATAGTGTAGTGTATAATGTAGTGTACAGTGTATTGTGTAATAGTGTAGTGTAAAGTGTAGTGTATAATGTAGTGTACAGTGTATTGTATAAGTGTAGTGTATTGTGTAGTGCATCATCATCAACACCCATTGGCAGATAGCCCTAGTGGTGGTAGTAGTAGTAGCTGCGTCCACCCCACATTTCCTCGCTTGCTGTTAACCACTCTCTCTCTCTGTCCTACAGCACCAAGACAGCTCAAGTTGTGCGCCGCGTCTCTCTCCCCGGCATCTCTCTCCGGCGTCTCTCTCTGGCGTCTCTGTCCGGCGTCTCTGTCCGGCGTCTCTGTCCGGCGTCTCTGTCCGGCGTCTCTCTCTCCGGCGTCTCTCTCCGGTGTCTCTCTCCCCTTCCTGGCCCCGCCGGGCCGCCGCCGCCGCCGTACCCTGAAGTAGTCGCTGCAGGCGGCGAGGACGGCGCGGTGAGCCGGGAAACTGCGGGCGCCGGCGCGGAGTCGCACGTCGCACAGAGACGCCGAGAAGGCGGCGGCGGAGGCGGCGGTGGCGGTGGAGGCGGAGGCGGTGGAGGCGGCGTGGCGCTGTGCGTCGAGCGCAGCCAGCACGGAACGAGTGTGGCCGCGGGCGCTGCAGCGGCGTCCGCGGTCGGACAACAGCGACGACATCGCCGGAGAGACACCGCCGAGGCCTCGCGCGCACTCACGCACTAACGCACGCTCACTCACGCACACTCACACGCACTCACTCACGCACACTCACACACTCACGCACACTCACACACTCACTCACACACACACGCACTCACGCACACTCACACACTCTCAGTTACGCACACTCACACACTCTCACTCACGCACACTCTCACTCACTCACGCACACTCACGCACACTCGCGCACTCACGCACACTCACTCACGCACACTCACGCGCACTCACGCACACTCACGCACACTCTCACGCACACTCACACACTCACGGGCACTCACGCATACTCACTCTCGCGCGCTCACGCACACACTCGCCACTTGCCTTGCCTGTAGGAAAATCATTAAAAAAATCAACGTTTCGGGGGTAACACCACGGGCGTCCGTCATCAGGTAGGACAACCACAGCAAGAAACAATTGCTGAAGTGGGCAAAAGGGCTTCCCCGTGACAAGAGGCTATAGAGGTAAGAGAGGGGGAGGAGCAAGGGGGGGAGAGATAGAGAGGGGGGTGCGAGATCGTTTAGAGGTGGGGGGAGAAGTGGGCGGGGCTGGGAGTGGCAGGCTGATGAAACGTCGTACTAACTCAAATTCTAAATGTTGTGGATTCACTCTTCAAACACCCGTGGTGTCTAAGTGCGTGTGTCTAAGTGCGTGTGTGTGTCTAAGTGCGTGTGTGTGTCTAAGTGCGTGTGAGTGCGTGTGTCTAAGTGCGTGTGTCTAAGTGCATGTGTGTCTAAGTGCATGTGTGTGTCTAAGTGAATGTGTGTGTCTAAGTACATGTGTGTGTCTAAGTGTATGTGTGTCTAAGTACATGTGTGTGTCTAAGTGCATGTGTGTATCTAAGTGCATGTGTGTGTCTAAGTGCATGTGTGTGTCTAAGTGCATGTGTCTAAGTGTGTGTGTCTACGTGCATGTGTGTGTCTAAGTGGGGAGCGATAGTGTAGCGGTTAGCGCACTGCGCTATGAACCTGGCGACCTGGGTTCGATTCCCGCTCACGGCCAACACCGGTGACGATTATCTGAACCGGTCCCGGGCCTCCCCTAGGTCGACTCAGCCTCAAATGAGTACCTGGTGCGGTGTGTAAACATCGTCACTAGGGAGACAAAGGCGGTCGGGCGTGGTGCTGGCCACCCACCCCCTCGTGTACCGTTCCGGCCTTCATAGGTGCTCGCTAACAGCACTTGCCCCTACAGTCTGTTAAGGCTATATGGGGGATCTTTTTTCGTGTGTGTCTAAGTGCATGTGTCTAACTGCATGTGTGTGTCTAAGTGTGTGTGTCTAAGTGTATGTGTGTGTCTAAGTGCATGTGTGTCTAACTGCGTGTGTGTGTCTAAGTGTGTGTGTGTGTCTATGTAGATTGTCTAACTGCATGTGTGTGTCTAAGTGTGTGTGTGTCTAAGTGTGTGTGTCTAAGTGCATGTGTCTAACTGCATGTGTGTGTCTAAGTGTGTGTGTCTAAGTGTGCGTGTATGTCTAAGTGTGTGTGTCTAAGTGCTTGTGTGTCTAACTGCATGTGTGTGTCTAAGTGTGTGTGGGGCTAAACGGGGGCTCTGGACGGGTGCGAGGGGCTGGTAACACCTCCACCTTCAATTAATTATCACTAAACCGCGAATTAAGTATATAACTAATAAGCTTGTGCCGGAGGCCCCGGGGGGCCAGGCGTCTATGACGTCTCCTGGCCAAACCCCAATTGGCGGAGCCAGGAGATTGAATATCTACCCTCGGGGCTCCTCTAGAAACAACGAAAAACCACTACGGGTGGCCACGTGGAATGTTCGAACGCTCACTGCGGAGGAGAGGCTGCCACTCCTCTGTCGGGAGCTGGACCGGTACCGCCTGGATCTATGTGGCATTCAGGAGGTCCGGTGGACCGGTTCTGGCTCCTGCCACCATGAGGGGTGGACAGTCCTCTACTCGGGGCAACAGACTTCCAAACAACAGGGTTTGGCTCTTCTTTTGAACAAAAGAATGAAGGGGGCATGGGAGCGTGGCGGTGAGGTGTGGGAAGCTGTAAGCCCCAGGCTACTTTGGGCTCCCCTTCCCATCAACTGGAGGCGAGGAATGGTGGTCGTGGTTACTTATGCCCCCACCGAAGATGAACATCCGTGGAGGGATGCAGGCAAAGCCGATGAGTCAGATGCCTTCTATGACCTCCTGTCACAGGTGCTGGCTAAAGTGGCCCCTCGGGACAGAGTCATCATGTTGGGTGACTTCAATGCCCGAGTTGGTCATGATGCTGGCACCTGGTCTGGAGTGATTGGAGGGCATGGGCCAGATCAGCTCAATAACAACGGTAGGAGGCTGCTAGATTATTGTGCAGCCCATGGGCTTGTAATTACCAACACCCTGTTCTGGCATCGGCGCATCCACACAACATCATGGATGCATGCCGGGTCCAAGCAAGAACATCTGCTGGACTACATAGTGACGGACCAGCGGATGCAAGCCCATGTCCTTGACACCAGGAACTACCGTGGAGCTGATCTGCCCTCTGACCATCGACTAGTCATCTGTAAGATGCACCTGCCATTCTTCCACTCCGGTGGTGGGTGTACACCCAGGACCCCATTCCAACCTAAAGTGGCCTGGTCTCAGTTATCTGATGAAAGTTGCAAGCGAGAATTTCATCATCGCTTGCGGCTGGGATTGGCATCGTCCACGACTCCTCCTGATGTCGAGGGTAAATGGGCGAGGTTTAGGACTGTGACTCATGCAGCTGCAATGGCTGCTTTGGGTACGCGGTCCAGACCTCCCCAGAGACCCTGGCTGACAAAGGAGGCATTCAGGATGGTTGAGAAAAAGCGACAGGTCCGCTGTCATCGGCTACAGAATCCCACATCAGAGAATGAGGAGGCTTACCGCATCCTTCGCTCGGAGGTTCGGAGAGCCGTGAGGCACTGCAAGGATGGGTGGTCGCGGGTTGCTGAGGAGATGGAGTCTGCCTCAGTGGCCCGTGATCACAAATCTCTATTTAACTCCATCAAAAAAGTAACCTGCAGCGCCACACCTATTACCATCATTAGGGGAAAAAACGGTGATCCAATCTCCGACCCCAGGAACAGGTTTGCAGATTTGCTGAGCATTTCTGTGAGGTCCTGGGGGAGGGAAAATCCCTCAGCCAGGAAAACATCGTGGCACAAAGTGAGGATGACCCTGCTGAGGCTGCGGTGCCTCAAATATTGGAAGAAGTCACCCCATGTGAGTGGCTGGCTGAGGTGCCATCTGTTGAGGAAGTACTGAAGGCGATCCGGAGTCTGAGACCAGGAAAGGCAGTGGGCAGAGATGATCTCCCAAACGAAATGCTGAGGGAGGGTGGCGTTTGTGCACAGAATGCCCTATATGACATCATAACAACAGTCTGGACCACTGGACGGGTTCTGCAGGATTGGAAGGATGCCCTGGTGGTCCCCCTTTTTAAGAAGGGGGACCGCACAGACTGTAACAACTACAGGTGCATTTCACTCCTCAGTGTGCCGGGAAAGGTCCTGGCAAGGATTATTCAGCATCGCCTTGCCAGGCACGCTGAGGAGAGGCTTGCGGAACCCCAATGCGGTTTCAGGAAAGGGCGGTCCTGCACAGATGCCATATTTTCTGTCCGTCTGCTACAGCAGAGGTGTAGTGAATTCCAACAAGACCTACATCTCTGCTTTATTGACCTGGTCAAGGCCTATGATACCATCAGTAGGCCTGGGCTCTGGGTTGTTCTTCGTGCTTTTGGAATACCTGACCCTCTGCTCACGATCATTCAGGACCTTCACGATGGTGAGCGGGCCCGGGTAAAACTACGTGGCCGGGAGTCAGAGCCATTCCCTGTACACCTTGGGGTGCGACAGGGATGTCCTCTGGCTCCCGCATTATTTAACATCTATTTTGACCACGTAGTTCGTGAAGCCTTCAATAGCTATACCGGGGGAATCTCCATATGGTACAGATATAATGGAAGGCTGATCGATGCCCGGGTGCGGTCAAGGGATGGCTCCCTATTGCTCAACCACGTGATGTATGCTGGTGATTTGGTAATAGCTGCTCATTCAGAGGAGGAGTTGGAGACGCTGCTGCTGAGACTGGAGCGTGCCACTAAGAGGTGGGGCCTTACCATCAGCCCCACCAAAAATAAGCACCTGCCTGGGTATTTTGTACCATCGGACACTCCACCCCCACAACTCCCAATCGGTGATGGGGCAGTTGTGGAGCGAGTGGAGAGTTTCCCATACCTGGGCAGTGTGCTTATGACCGGCTCCAGTTTAACAGCAGAGCTCTCACTCCGAATCAGTCGAGCGGCAATATATTTTCATCGGTTGCATAACGCTGTGTGGAAGCTACCTGGTCTGTCGCTCCGCACTAAGCTTCAGGTCTTCTCGACCACGGTCATTCCCTCCCTTCTCTACGCTTGCGAAACGTGGACCCCCCTAATGAAACATCTTCGCCGGTTAGAAACATTTAGGCTGGCTTGCCTACGATCCATCCTGGGTTTAACCAGACTGGATTGTGTGAGCTCACAAATCCTTGAAATATCTGGGCAAGGTCCCATCGGTGAGCTCCTCTGGCGGGCAAGGCTGCGATGGCTGGGTCATGTAGCCCGCATGCCCAGCCACCGCATGCCGAAACAGCTTTGGTTCGGCCGGATCGAGGGGGCTAAACGGGCGCGGCACGGGCTAGAGAAGAGATGGAGTGATGTGGTACAGGAGGACGTGGAGCTGAGTGGACTTGCCGATGACTGGTACCTGCGGTGTCAATATCGGCCTCAGTGGAGGAGGCTCGTGAAGGACACTACTGGGAAGTTGGAGGCAGTCGCCCTCCAACAACAACGGAGGGCGGAGGCGCGACGCTCACAACAACGAGCGGAGCGCCGAGTGGCTAAAGCACAGCAGGTTGGCACAGTAGGGGGCACAGGTGGTGCATCAGCCAGTCATCTCAGTCAGTCGACCCGTGGCACCTGGGTCTGGCCCGTGACCTCCTGCCAGCAGGCGTTCGACACTTCACGTGGCCTCAGGGTGCACATAGCCTGGCACAAGCGTCGTGGTGACGTCACCGCCACTTAGTGGTGAATGGCGGTTGTTGTGTGTGTGTTACAGAGTGTCTGT